ATTCAAAAATCTTCTAAAAATCCCATATGAGCTTAATAACTTTCTATTACGAGTTTCTATTATCAAAGATCATATATTTATTACTGATCTACTCTCTCCTTCAGACATCACATTGATGTTATTGCAGTTCTTGCTCTAAAGGTTTTAGGTCTTATTAAGTGTATCACTAAGCTATTCTCTTCATTTAATTGTTTCTGTTCGTTATATTTTACTCTTATTCGGTCTATACTTGAGTATGGGATCATCGTTTAGTACCTTTATCTTGCGAAAGATCATCTACGACTTAAGCATATCCAACATAAGTTTTTTCATATGCTGCTTTCATTATTAAATTAACTTCATCAGACAATAACTATTCTGATATTAGTCATGTACTAAATATTCCTTCCATAGTGACAATCCTTAGTCAATTTTTTAGTTTAATGTTTCCTTACAGATTTCTCTGTGTAGACGTGTAGTATAGAAGTCTATTGTATTTCTATAACATTTGGTATTTTATAACTTTTTTTTATTTTATTTTTAATTTAAATTTATATGTACGTATTTTTATTAATATGCAATTAAACTAAAAAGCAATTATAGGTAATCTGAAGACCGTAATATACCGAAACTGAGTAGTTACGAAAAAATAACTTAAAAATATACACTCTATATCTTGTTTTTCAAACAATTTTTTTAACACTAGTATTATTACAAAAAAAGAGCTGATACTGGGGATAGGAGTAGCCACTGTTGTAGGTGTGAAGTTGGGAAAGTAGGATATATTAGTTTTTTCATTTATATCTGTAAGCAATGATAAACTATTGCTTGACGAAAGACGATTCCGCGCAGTTCGGTAATACATAATTTGAAATTCCGTAATTTTTATTTTTTGTTGCGATTTTTGTTTAAATTTGAATTCAAAACGCTAATTAAAAAAAAAAAAAGATTTTGGAAATGTTTTCCACGTCTAGATAAATCCAATATAAATATGATTACCAAGTTTCAATTCTCTACGTGTATTTATAATCGAATTATAGCAAAAAAAAACTTCCAACATTTTCTTAAAAGCTCAAAAGTAGCTTAAAAGTTTTGGCGTTAATACTGTGAGAAATTAAATCCAAAAGGCAACAAAAAAGTTACCTTGTGATATTTCGATTAAATCATTTTTTTGGTAGATAATGTTGTCCTTGTTTTCATAAAATAATGAAATCGTGAAATTGTACTCTTTCCTACGTTTTTTCCCACTTAAGTGCTTTTATTTGAAAAATAGCGAAGATCAAAAAATGACCTGTTTAAAGTACAATCTAGACAACTTAAGCTTTCAGAAAAGTTACTAAACGTAAAAATCGAAGTAAATTTACTAGGAAAAAAAAGATGTGTCCACAGACTAGAAGAAATAATAAAAAAATAAACATCTTAGTGAAATACCGATAGCTCCAGATACCTAACCTAACTGATACGTTCGGAATCTAAAAATTAATATTTGATAAATAAATCATAATAACTCAATAACGAAACACAATAATTAATTTCATTCAGGTGTCTAGAGAATTCCATCCGATTACTCCATTAAAGGCACTTTTTTTATTCAATTACCTAAATAAATAATAATATATCAATTAACATAAAATAATTTAATAATAGTTATATTGTCCTATTTTAATAATTCTTTTGTATACCTATTTTAGAAAATTATATGGGTTTCATGTAATACTGGATATAAAATTACATTTATAAAGCCAACATACATACTGACGAATGTAATCAAATTCACAACTTAATTTATTAACCGATTTAAAACATCACGCTTTACCTATAAACAAGTACACTGAAATTAATAGTAGATAGGTATCACGTGTATCAGAGTGATCTTTATGTTTAAACTTTCAAATTATTGATGTAGGACCAACTCCATCAATTTTTTCATTTTTATAAGAAAATAATTTTGGTTAAAATTGAGCATGACTACTCAACCCCTTTTCGTGGCCCTGGGGTGTAGCAAAACAGCCAAAGGAGGTAGTTTCGTTTTTTTATGGATTAAATAAAGAAATATAGTACTTAGCAAAACAATTTATCACTAGTAACTATAAATTATCAATTTTGGTAAACAAATTAAAAAATTAGGAATTCATTATTTTCTTTTGAAAATAATCAACTTATAGGAAATAATATAAATATAATTTTTATTGAACATTTTACATTCTACAATTATTAAATTGATACATTTTTTAGTTAAATCCATAAAACAACTAAACTACATTATTTGGCTATTTTTCAACATCCCAGGAGCACGAGAAGATTTCATTAGTATTCATGACCAAGTTTAACTAAAATCATTCTCTTATAAAAATGAAAAAATTTAGGGGTCTTACATTACAAGTGGGTATCAATATATTTGTTTTCTTCTTTCTTTTTTTAAATAAGGTCTACAATGATGATACTTCATTTTTTATGGAATTTTTAATATATCAGTGATCCATTTAAGTGGGTAAACTCATTATCTCAGAAAGATTAATATTTCCCAGAATTTATTGTCTAGAATATTTTAGAAACAAGCTCTCTACAATCGTATATTTATGTTATTTTTGTCGCCATTATTTTTAGAGGTAAAACCACTACCTACTTCTGACTTTCAAATGATAACCTGTATTAAAAATTCCATAAACAGATGGAGTATTATTTAAAATAAATTTTAGTGTTGACATTTTTGATTAACTTCAAGAGTTAATATTGCTGTATACAGTCTGTACATAAAACTCATGATTTGTTAACCAATTATAATTGCATGAATAACATAAGACTTCATTATAAAGACCTTATTTCTGGGCCCATAACCTGTTGAAGTACACAAATATACAGAAGTTAAAGGTATATAATATAATAATAAGATTGGACATATTAATATAATAATAAGTATAATGATACAATATAAAATAGTGTCATGAGGTGTAATATTAATCAATGACTAACCAGTCTACATAAGCTACTACATAAGACAAATATGCTATAATAATAAAAAAAATATCTATTCAGCTTCTGCTGAACTACAATGTGAATAGTTTACTTATAATCTACATAATACATGGTATGTCGTTTATAATTAAAACAAATTTAAAATTGTATTAGAAATATTCAGACAAAATAAATAAATAATAATAAATAGTAAATATAATAAAATAGTAAAATAATAAATAGTTAGCAAGATTAAAATAACACATGCCCTATAAGAAATACAAATTCATTTAACTTTATTGAAAGTTAAAACACATCTTTATATTAGGAATTTTGTCTGGATATGTTGCTTTTTATTTTAATGAACATTAATGAAATATTTTTTTTAATCCTTTATGTCTATTATAAATAATGACTCCAGCTATTTAAGATTGTTAATTAATATATGAGAACATTAAGTTGAATTTTTTTTGTGTTTTTAATAGCTTACAGTTATTATATTATTATGTAAAGACTCTGAATTGATGAAATTTAATAGTTTACTGTTAAGACTATTTACTGTAATTTGTATAAAATAAACAACTCAATAATTTGGTACTGACACACAATGTTATTATATAATTTAATCTTGCCATTTGTAAAGGTAGAAATATATTTTTAAATATTAATTACAAACTTATCAATAAAATTATTTTATAATAAATTTAAAAAAAAAACATAGATAGGTACATATATAGCAATAGAAAGTTAATAATAATAAAAATACATGTCATACTTATAATATAATAAATTTAATACATAGGTACTTATGGTAATAATAATAATAACATAGGTAATACATACAACTACCTACATTAAGTTATGATTTTTTCTAATTTATTTAACTTTTATAATTTAAGTTTAAATCTATTAATTTGATAGTGGATATCATATTTTGATTGGAAAACCTGCCCAGTAAGCAATCTATACTATCTATAATCAATGCTAGTTTATTAATTCATAATTTAGAATTATATTCTTCATATACTTACTTTTTTTTATAATGTATATAAATATATAATACCAAAATCAAAGTTGCATAATAATTGATGTTTATGAGATTATATAATGAATACAATTTATATTGTTTTGCACTTCACATAATAGACATCACTGATCATCAATGCATTAATAGTTAAATTATTTATAACCTAATTTTAAAAAAACATCTAATAACCACTGAACCTACTTATATCTATATTATTATAACGAATACATACAATTTGAATACTAGTGTACATAATTAAATTGTTCTTATCAATATGTTTACTTGGCTACTAATAGTTTTGTGCAGAGCTAGGAGACTTCACGAGCAGGCACTAGCCAGGGAAGAGGGGGGCCCTAACAGGAAATTTAGGCATCTCACAAAAAAATTCAGATTATTGATAGTTTTTGATACACATTGTTTGGACCTCCCCAAAAAAAATCCTGGCTACGTGGCTGCAATCACGAGTATCCACTGATAAAATGTACACAGAAAATGAGGGTATAAGACTTAGCTTTATATATTTACTTATAACTAGGGCTGGGAATTTATAAGAAAGTGCATTTTTCTTTTACTGACAAGTTGCCAGTCTGATCACTTTTTAAACTAAATGTCCTTTTAATATCTTCAAAGTCACTTTTTTTATTTTAAACTTGTCATAGATTTTTTTTTGAACTTTTACCAATCATTTTTTCTAAATATTTTGAGATTTATTGTTATACAAAATGATATATTTTTTTTTTTCTACATAAAGACTAAACTAAATTATATTTTAGGTTATCTAAGTTAATAAATACCTTTAATCTTAATTGTAACATTATTATAAATGCTAGTTGGTTAACCCAATATAGTCTATAACATTTTAAGGTAATTTTTATTCTTTATATAATAAATATATTTTGTTAACATGATATGTTACCAAAAATTAATAAAAAGTTTTAACAGAAATTTGTATTTTTCAATTTTGTCAAATTGAAAAATAATTAATTCTGTAAGTTGGTACATCCTGGTACCTACTTCTAATTTAATAATTATAAGTATCATCTATTCTACCTACATTTAAAAATGGATATGTTTTCAAATTACTAAAATGTTAAGGTTATGTCAATACAAACACAATGAATCTTATGTAAAATTATAATAATATACTTCTAAATTAGGCTAAATCTTTATGGAACTTGTTTTATTGATGTATTCAAGTCACATTTTGGTCACTTTATCTACTATTTTAAGTATAACACATTGGTGGCAACCCTGTGATAGCACAATCACAGCTTAGATTTCTAAGTACATATTTTGAATTTATAATAAATTAATAATTCATATTTTATTAAGTAGCTGATATTATAATAAAAATAAAAACTACCTACCTGAAAAAAAAAATTGGGAAACTTGTTTTTTTATAATGTTAGAATCTTTAGATTATTTTTCGAGTTACTGGTCTGATTTGTTTTTTTTTTTCAATTTTGCTTTATCTGTAACAAATATTAACACAATGTTTATCAAATATTAATAAATTATATTGGGGTAATATTATTAGTGTTATATACATTTTAATTCAACTATAAGTCAATATTCTTTGTTATTATATTATTATAATATATTTATACATATAAACAATGGTTAAAATTATTTCAGTAAACACTATAGATAAATAACTATAAATAAAAGAAAGAAGAAAAAAGAAATATAAGAAAAGAAAAATATTAAAAAGAAATATATTGATTAAGACAATATTTAGCTTAATAATAGAACTAAGAACTATAGAATACAACTATTTTTTAAAAAATGTTTCATCTCCAAAGGAGAATTAAAAATAAATCAAAATTATTAAGTCTATTACCTAGAGTTAACATTTGATTAACCGGTGCAAATAGGCAATAATCAATAATTTCTATAATCTGTAATATACTTAAGGCATGACACCCTTAAGAAAAATTAGTAAATATTACAACAAATAAATAGCTTTATAATAGAGCAATAGAGTCTTAAACATTTATGTATTTTGTGGTGAATATACATTTCAAAATATTCATAGAAATATTGATAACCTAACCAAACCTAAATTTTTTAAACTAGTCAACAAATTATTCTCTGAAAAGAAATCTGACTGGGAAGGTACATTAGAGAGGCAAATTTTGTATGTTTTTCCCAGGTTTTCATCAACAAATAAGAAAACCCAGAAAATGTACAAAATGTAGGTAATAGTTGTAAAATATTTCAGCGTTTTTCCCTCTGTAAACAATATAACAATACAAAAACCCACTCAAATCTTCATTTAAAATGTATATTCAAATTATAAACTAACTTAAAACTATTTTTTACTTTCTAATTTCAATATATTTTTTATAATATTTATTTTTATTCATTATAAATTTTTTCCATGTTTAGGTAAAAGGGAAAAATTAAAAACATGGGTATGAACTATGTATATATATATGTAAAACCATATATATATTCAGCTACAACAAACATACTTTAAAAAATACAATATAGTTATTAAACATAACAAACATATAATATCCATAAATCAGAACTTCAAAAAGCTATAATATCTAAACTGAGTCAGTCTGACTCCATCATCGTTCTTAAATAGACAATATACATAAGTTAAAAAAAAAAATTTAAAAATTATATTTGTTTCACATATTTTTTACTCAAACAATTTTTGTCAAAATTCGGTATTTAATTTCATTTAAAAAAAAATACATTTAACTTAATTTTTTTTTAACATAAAGTAACTCTTAATGAACCTCTTGTTGAATTTACAAATATTTCTAATAAGTCTAACAATTTTATCATAGAGTACCTACCTATCTTAAAAAAATAGTTTGAATTCTGATTTTATAAACAATAATTCATAAAAATTATATGAACTTTAATTAAGAAAGACCATCAAATAAAACATAAAATTGACTTAATAATAAAAATTAAAAACTAATGAAAATTAAAAAAAAAAAGATTTGAAATTTGTTCAAAATCTATTCTAAAATTGAATAAACTAAAAAAATAAACATCAGTTGTCTATCTCATAAAACTTACAATCAACAAATACTTACTACAGATGCATTAATGTCTAGAACTACGATGTGAAGATCCAGCCCTGTCTTCTCTACGATCTCTGTCAATATCTCTGTCTGAATCTACTGGTCTTCTACTAGAAGTTGATTCTCTTTCACGTTCACGTTCACGTTCCCTGTCACGCTCTCTATCACGTTCTCGATAACGATCTTCATAGTACCTAGAATAATAAATAAATTTAAAAACAGTACAATAATCTATTTGAAAAACACAGGAGTCAATAAACTATTTATTATAATAATTAATAAATATTAGCATTTTTTTTTTTTTTTTTTCTTTTGGATATTTGATGAAAGGATCTGAACATTTGGTAATATTACCTGGATTTAGAAGATACAGTAACAGACTCAGTAACATCCGGCGGAGTGACTTTTCTACTTCGGCTGCTTGCTTTTGCAGAACTGTTAAACAATAAACTTTACCCTCAACAAGTATGAAAACTTTAAAAGTACAAAGTATTCTAGAAAGAATAAATTGTTCAAGCATTTTAAAAATGATTCTAGTATCTTACCTGTCTTCATGACTCTTCTCTCTGTATTCACGATCTCTTTCTCTTTCCCTATCTCTGTCACCATCCCGGTCCGATGTATAATAACGATCAACATACCTGTTATAGTAACAAAATTATTTTACCCTTTATATATAGCTTTTATTAAAAGAGCCACATCATAAGTTATAGTATACTTGAGAAATATTATACAACCAAAGTTATGTTTGATATAACAATATTCTAGTCTATTAATGAACTAGTTCAATATAATTAAATATAATCTAGGTGGTTCCAGTTAACAATTTAGCCAACATTAGTAGACTACATTTTAACAATATAAAGCTATAGACTTGTTAACTAATATTAATACAAAACAAAACAATTATCATACTTGTCACGATCTTTTTCCCTTTCATGATCACGGCTTCTATCTCTATAGTCTCGTTCACGAGATCTAGTACGTTCACGTCTTGATCTTCGGTGCGCACGGTCACGAGGTGATCTTGACCTCTCTACAAATAAAAATACAGATAAAATAAACAAAATACAATGTAAAGCATATAAATTTACCTCTCCTTGAACTATAACTCTTTGATTCAATTCCGTGTAGTGTATCCTGCAAAGAACTCACTAAAATTTTACACCGCTCATCGCTGGCCACCTTAGATTGTTTAATCAATGATATTGCAGTAACTAAAGTTTCAATAGCATTTGAGAATTCGCCAGCAGCAGCGTCAGCAACGGCTCGTGCTATAGCAGAACTAGAAACAGTTCTGTTTCTGTTCATAATTTCTTCCAACTCTTGTTCAGGCATTCCCATTTCATTACTCATGTAGGGTCGGGAAGAAAGTAAATTGGGAGAACCATAACTATGGTGACTTGGTGGTCCCTGAGATGCACCACTTGGTGTCGTGAAGAATGCAGGATTAACATGTGGTGCAGGTGCAGGTACTAGACCCGGACCTCCCTGCATCATTTGAACTGGACCTAAATCATTTTTTATTAAATAGGAAAATAATTTTTAAATTTCACAAAATATTACTTAAAACATAAATAAAAAAAGCTGTTCTAGGTAATTTAATGTATATCTGTTAGCAACAATTATCCATTATTAACAAAATATCAATTTTGAGCGAAGTTCAATTGATATTGTAGTTGCTTTGTCAGCAATATAATATGTCTTATTATGGTAAAATAATTACATATCCTCTCTAAAATATCTCTCCAATTAAATTTCCTTATAGACAAATTGCTATCATTAAAATTGGAGCAAAATTTCAGATAGAAAAGTTGTTCTCAAGAAAAAAGGCTGTAATATTTTTTTCAAGTAATACCTACATTTTATAATTTTTCCAGTTTTTCACATTTATTTAGAAAACTTCTGAGAAAATCAAAAAATGAACCCTCTACCTTCCTAGTCAGATTTCCTTTTAGAAAAATTATAGCAAAATTGTAGGTAAAAACGTTCACTGAAAAAAAAATTGCATTATATTTTGAACATTTTCCTGTTTATTACATTTGATGAGAAAACTACTGAGAAAATCAAAAAATAACCTCTTTAATACTTTATTACCTACCTAGTAAAATTTCCTTTAAGAAACATTGCTATTGTTAAAATTTAGAGCAAAAGCGGTGGTAAATAAGTTGTGCACAGAAAAAAAGAAGGCCATAATATATTTCAACTAATACTTACATTTCTTATATATTTTTCTGTTTTTTCTTCAGTTTTTGCAAAAAATTGCATTATATTTTGAACATTTTCCTTTTTATTACATTTGATGAGAAAACTCCTTAGAAAATCAAAAAATGATTTCTTAGAAGTACCTCCCAAGTGAAATTTCTTTTTAGAAACATTGCTATCATTTAAAGTTGGAGCAAAATTGCTAGTAGAAAAGTTGTCAACAAAAAAAAAAAATCTTAAGATTATATTTCGTAAATTTTCCCATTTTTCGCATTTGATGAAAAAACACTTGAGGAAAACGAAAAATTACCTCTTTAAAGTACCTCCCAACAATGATTTCCTATCAGAAAAACAGTTAAAATTATAATCGAAACAAGATTTCTAGTAGAAAAGTTGCGCACAGATCATCACAACAACTTTGTAAAACCACAAACTTCTTCGCTCCACTCAGAATCTAAAATATACATTACACATCAAGTTTAACAGGAGTACAATACTAACCTTGGCCAGGAGGACCTTGCATTGGACCTTGTTGATGAGATGAAAAACCAGTACCTGGGGGAGCCATGTGATGAGTAGGCATTCCAGGAGGACGATTCCAATCACCACGTGGTCCACCTGGTCCTGGAGATCCCTGAGGACCTTGATGTGGTCCAATTCGTGGTGGACCTTGACCTGGTAGAAACTGAAAATATTTCAAACAGTTACAAAAATTATCTACAAAAATTGAAAATAAAATTACCATTCCAGGAGGTGGTCCTCTAGGCTGTCCCACTGGTCCTTGAGGTTGCATTCCTGATCTTAGTGGCCCTAAATAACAAAATCAAACAAATATTCTTGAATGTAAAAAACAGAGTATATATAAAAAATTTAAATAAATTATAATTGTTACCCATTTGCTGATTAGACCCATTCCATTGATTTTGATAACCAGGAGGACCAGGTGGACCTGATTGGTGAATATTCATATGCCCACCTGGTTGCAATGGTATCCTATGCCCATTAGTCATACCCATTGGTGGTTGCATACCTTGAGGTGATTGTTGCATACCTTGAATTCTGTTCCTCATACCTTGAGACTGTGGCATCATTGGACCACCACGCATTGGTTGCTGCATTACTTGTCCACCCAGAGGTCTTACCATACCACCCATAATAGGCATATTCTGAATATGTGTTGGGTATAGTGGACGAGTTTTAGATTGTGATTCAAACTAAAACAATATAAATAATATAAAATAATAATCAGTTTGTAGAATTTTCTATGTATTCCTTCATTTATTTTTTCATATTTAGTCCAGTCAACTTTTTGACTTACTTGATTTTACCTGAAGATGACTTCCAAAAAACAAGACACATTCATTTATTTATATACTTATTTACAAGTATTACCCATTTGATAATTTTGTTTTTACTTTATTATTTTGTTAATATAAATTATTTAAATAGTTATATATAATAACTTATACATTAATTAAAATTACCTGTAAAAGGGCTTGTTTAGTTGGATATGTGACAACAGGTGATTGTCCGTGGAGTTCTTTTTTGGGCAATCTATCCATAACTAAGCGTAAACTACGCTCTGAACCCAATGTAACAACACAAAAACCTTTGGATTGACCATTTCCTCGATTTTCAAAAAACTTGACTTCAATAAAATCTGTCACGCCGATGCTCATAATACTGTCTGTTATATCTTGATCAGTTGTCCACTTTTAACAAAATATAATAATATACAGGGTGATATTTTTATCATGAACCAATATTTATTTCAGAGGATTTTAAGTGAATTTGATATCTGCTTTTTTCTAATCATTAAGCTTTATTTTAAAATCATTTTTGATTTTTTACCCCTACTCTATATACCTTAAATAAGTGCATACATTTGATTTTCAAATAGGAACTCCCCCCTTTTAATCACAGATTTGAATAGAGAATATTTTTCTAGACATTTTGATGTACATAACACTAATTTCAGATTTACCATTTATGAGTAATAATATTTTAAAGTTTAGATTAGTGAAGGGTAATAAATTGCCTATCCATAACCCTTCCCTATTCCCCTGATCTAAATAAATAAATTTTCTTTTATATGTCAATACTGTTGAAGCAGTAATCTTTTCAATGGTATCAAATCATAAGACAGTGGACTGCCACATTATGTCAATCCATACTGACAATTTACATAGATTTTGGATATAGGTATAGCACTACTAATATATTAGTAAAAGTTATATTACAAATGTCCGTCAATATGTTAAAAGGATTTCAATCACACTTCAGTGTATGAATTTAGGATGGCCAATTAAGTCTTAATAGAGATTTGGAAACAGTAATCTTAGTATGAAGAGCTAGTTTTTATTTTAGTACTGGGTGGAGTAAAAGTCTATTATTGAGATTATTTTCTTTTGGATTTGATATGAGAACCCCAAGTCAATCTTTTGTCAAGGACACCATGATGTTAAACTTCAGATTTTTTCATGGTATTTCTTGGAATCAGAGAAGTGGTATAGATTTTTTTTAAAGTAAATGGGACATAGAATAATAAATAAAAATAAACTTATGTTTGAATGTAGCTCCACTTCTCTTCTCTACCCAAAAATAAAAGTTTCATTATCATTTTCAAGAAATAAAAAATCCTAAGACTTGTTTAAACTAATACTTCATCTATTTATAGAATTTATAATATAAATTGCCATTTGAAAATCAAAAGTAGGGTAATTTTACCCACAAAAATAATGTTAGTGTAACATGTTAGATCTGCTTATTTCTTAAATAGTAAAAAAAAAAACAATTTTAAAATTTAACACTTTGAAATAATCTAGCCACGGAAATATATCATTGTATATAAAACTTTTTTTACCACTCTCTCATTAATTGCCTAATTTTTATTATTATAACAGTAAAAACAATGAAAAAATGAAATGACATTTTTTACTTACCCAAGTTAAATTACCAATATATAATTGATAACGACGTCCAGAAGTAGAGTTATTACTTGTAGTGCTACTAGATGAGCCATTGGTCACTAATGAAGAGCTATTTTTAGTATTCATATTAGGAGACCTATCAACTGGCTGTCGTGTCTGAATACTGATCCCAGACATATCATCGTCATATAAATCAACATTATCATTTTCAGCAAAATCTTCCTAAAATAAAAACCAAACATAATAAGTATTAGTAATTAATCATAATAAAAAAAAAAAATTAAACATCATAATTAAAATTGTTATACTAGAAGTAAATATAGATAGGTACCTACTGAGAATAATAATGTAACTGATTTACCTAGATACTAAATATTAAAATCACAAAAACTGGATGAATATTTAATCTTTATAATACTTTAAAACTCAATATTAAACTGTAATTTAGATGATGTGAAGAACTAATATTAATGAATAAAAAAAAAAATATTGGAATATTTAGTATATGGTCTGATAAAAATTATTTGCCATCAAACATAAATTAATAATAACTGGGGTAATTCAACAGATTACAATAATCTAACCTAATTGGTTTTTTTTAGCAGCAAAGAATACATTGGTTTTACTATTAAGTGTTAATTTATTTTTTTTGAGTATGCAACTTTTCTACCAGAAATACGTGTTGCTCATATTAGAAATTGACAGAAAAAGCTTTTTTGTAGCATTAATTGGTACACGGAGAAGCCGTTTTTGATTTTCTGTGTAATTTCCTTTCTCTCTATGGTTTCAATCCATAGATTGATTTGCAGCCTACTTCCACCACAAATATATAAACAAACTAGATAGCCATCCAAAAAGTGTGTCTCAACAAACAAATTCTAAATAGTAAAAAACATTCAACATTGTATGATATAAAGTTTTGGTCTACAACATTTTCAAAAAATGGGTACTAGGATGGGTAAATGGATACATTCAAAATATATTAATGTAAAAGAATCATATTGAAAATCAATAAACTTGATAAATTTAGTAATATATTTGTATTGTATTTACACATAAATATTATATTATAATATTGTAATATATATATAGGTATTTTATATTTTGTATAAACATTTGTAAACATTAAATGTTTACTGTTTATATATATTTCAGAACTAAAATGTTCAACTAGAAAGTAAATAAATAAAAACACTTCACTGAGAAAACAATAAATACTCAACTACACATCAAAGCTAAAACATCACCTTTATTAATTGATAAAAATATATAAATATTTTTATACAGTAACAGTAATCAGTACATAAAACATATAAAATCAAGTAGTTTTAATTTATGGTTCAAAACTGAACCAAAATGTATCATCAAACCTCTCAGCTTTAATTCCAGGCATATTAAATCACTTACAGATGAAAAAATATACATTGCACTTAAAACTGAACTTAATGAGTGTTCCATATTAACAAATGAGTTTACTTGCTCACTTCTTGGTACAATATATAAAACATGTTTATATGATTTCATTTGTAGCTGCCCTAATCACAGTATTAAAAATAACATGTAAAATAATTAACTTTTGAACTTACATTTTTTTATTTAAATTAATAACGAATATGATTTAATACGGTGAATCTCAATTTATTGTACCTACATATTTTTAATTTCATATATTTAATAAGGATAATTTTTTAAGTCAAAAAAAATGTTTGATTCAATTTTTTTATTTTTCCATTTCCATTTTTATATTCATTTTCCAAGTTTAAATATGAGGTGTAATGATAGATTACTTCCACAAAGTACACCCAGGGTACCACCAATGACCTATGACTTAAGATCTATTAAACTGTGTAATAATAATATAATATAATACATATTAATAATTTAAAACTATACTAATAATGTGTTTTTTTTATAAAATATGCTTTCTTAAATATCTTATCAAAATATATTGACTATAAAAAGAAAATACTGATAATATATTTTATATTTGCTAAGAATTGAGGCATTGGTTGGCTTGTGTGATATATACAATATTTGATTAAATATACTTAAATGCAAGAGTTCGCACTTTTTGTCAAATCAATAAATTCACAATTCCTACCATTGTGGTAAAAAAGAACTTGAGTTCAATGTAATTAATCAGCAATAATTTATGGTTATATATAGGTATAAAGTACATAGATAACTTCATATATCGTACCTTCCTAACTTCCTACCGACATCAGTGGCACACCCATTAGCAGGATCAGTTTATTTTTTGTAATCTACCAATATTATTTTTAGTATTTAACCAGGTAACCAACTAATTTTTTTAAAATTTTGCTTTAAAAATTATAAGGAGTACTATTAATATTTGTAATTAAAAAATATTTATATAAGTGTAACTAGTATAACTAGTAACTAGTAGGTATAACTAGTTATTAGTCAAATAATTAAAAATAACTACAGGATACTTTTTCTAGTATAACTTATTCATTCAATTATCATGATAATAAATATTGTGTAGCCACTTAGAAATATAATTCAATTAAATATTTACAATAAAAAAAAAATTTTAAATTCCTTATTATGTATAACAATACATCATTTAACAATATAATCCAGAAATTATTTACATACATATTTGATTTTAAGGTGAGCAAGGATAAAATTGGTTTGTAATACTTAATAATAGTTTGATTTTAGAGAAATTATACTTAGGTGATTAAAAAATATTGATCTGCTTGTGTCTTTAAATAGCACTTCAAAGCTGGACTAAATGTAACAAATATAGTAATAAATTAAACAAATTAATACTTAAAAGTACAAAAATATTCACTTTTTCCTAAAAATAAAACTACCTCTTTTAATATCAAGAAAATTAAGTATTTAAATTTTATACCAAATGTACTCTTTCACTTTAAACAGTATTAACATATTAAAATCCATAAGTTCAAGCCTATATAAAACTAAATATTATAGGTACACCAGTACAAGAAATAACAAAATAAAACAAAACAAAACACCTATGTAGTAATAGTTTCAACTATTTGGTTCACAATATACATAAGATTAGAAAGTTATTTACAATTATTACCAATCCAAGTCAAAATGTATAAGTAAACAAAAAAACAATGATCAATTCGTTTTAGTTTAAAGTGACATTTGAGTATTGTGTCAAGGCAATAGAACTTGACTGAATTTCTAATAAACAATGGCAAACAGATTTGAAGTACAAAACTAATGAAGATCTGTGGAATTTAATATTCTTTTGAATACAAATTTCACGAGAAAGCGAATCACTGCTTTGTGAGCGGTAGGTACTGGTCAAGTTAATGTAGACTTTGTCATACACTTTGTTTTCGAAGATCGTCGACGGAAAGCAGATTAAACTTAAAAAAGCGCTCATATACCAATTATTTAATGAACTTCCCCGTATAAGGTTGAGAAATCTGAATAGAACGGTAAGTGAACCAAAAGAACCAGACGCCTTCATGCCAAGGCGAAATTTACGCGAAATTCGAGACAATCCGGGACATAGTAAGCGTCCCCGTCTTTAGGCTCTACACACAACCGCCCGCTGTGCTTTCAAACATGGCCGAACGGCTAACAATAACCTGTACACGGTGTACAATACGCGCGCGCCGAACATACGTATGTGTCGTAAACATTACCTGAGCAAAGTCTTGTTCCAGATCGTCGGCGTACAAATCAATGGCCACGCCACCGGCCATTTGTGTCATATTATTCAGTCGGGATGTTGTGGAAACACGACGATACATAAGACAACAACGACGCCACTATCCAATGGCGGAAACGGACGACAGGGTGCCGGGTAGGATGCAGGGCGCGGAGATTTTCGTTGTTTACAGGGGACGATACGGACGGCTAAATGGGTGTGTGTGCCGGTAGGAGGTGAATTGTGAATTATTCTTATTTCTTGGTGTGTGTGTGTATATATGCGAAGTCACCGCCTATTATACAGTGTTGACACGGGTTAGGGAAGAAAAATGATCGGTTAGACGAATCCCTTTGTCTGATTTCTAATTATCGTTTTTTTAAGACGAATAATGGATTGTTGTGAACTTGTGTTAACGAGTCACTCAGCCCGTATAAAAAAAGGTACGATCGCCGTGTAATTTTATTGGTATGACATTAGTTTGGCATTTTATTACAGTATACAGTTTACAGTCAGTGTATGCCGTATGGGCGCAATCATGGCGCAAGTACGCCGGTTACTAGTTAACGTAGATTACGGCTCCACGTTCATGGAACAAAAAAACCGACGCTAGTCAACCGCATCAAATATTCAACTACGATACGACTGATTTAAATTTTTTCTAATCGGCAGAACGACAATCGATATTATATTGTCTTAGGCGATCAACTATAACTATTGTTCAATCACTAAACATTCTAAATCGTAGATACCGAAGAGATATTGTAGTTTATTGTATACAAATATTTTTAAATTTATACAGAAACAGTGACTACAATTCATCTCTTCTTCCTCTTCATCTTTTTATTCATAATATGAATATCTTATATATTATATAATTATATATGATTATATGAATTTAAAATTCTTTGTGTATCATTAAATATTTTGTTTAATATGAAAAATAATATTAACATAAGTACGAAATAAAATGTGCTTGCTAATTTATATTTCTTTACATTCAGAAAAAAATAGACGCAAATAAACCACATTTTGGGAGAGGAAATTCTAATCCCTCCCCATATTATGATATGGATAAAAAAAATGAGCTAATTCTGGGGACGAGTGCAGCTGCTGTTGTTGGTAGATTGTTGGAAGGTAGGATGTATCAAGTTCTTAATGTATTTAATTTATACCTGTAACCAACGACAATAAACCATTACTAACGAAAAACGATTCCGACCAAAGTTTGGTTATATACAATAGCTATACATTTTTTGAAAGGACGTTATATTAACGATTTCAGACAAAATTTTATTTTTACCTCATATAAAATAAAATAATTACCCTCAACTTTTTTTTTCTTCTATTAACACTAAGTACCTACGATTCATTATGAACCTCCTATCATATTTTCAAATATTTCTGATTAGTCTAATAATTTTATCTATAGAATACCTACCAAATAAAAGTTACGTAAAAATTAACAAAAAAAAATTTTCTATAAATAGCTCAAAAATGACCAGTTTTTTAAAATTTTACTACGTTTCAAAAAAGCAAACATACATTTTCTGCCAAAATTCTAAATTTAGAAATATTTTTAACTGAATTACATTAAAAAAGAGATTCTAAGATAATGGAGACGGATGCAACCATTTTTATAGGTAACTAGCTGACCCGACAATGCTTCGCCATTGCAAGATTTCTCAAACATTAATTTGCTATTTATTTTCTGGATGATTATTTTTATTTTAGACCACTTTTAGTCACGTCTCCGTGGTAATGTAACCATATAAATTTAGTGTCGCCACCGCGAATTCCTCATAATGTTGAAAAAAACTTATATCGGTTGTGTCAATAGAAAAATTGATGCTTATTGCAAATTTTTTTTATTTAATAGATTTAATGTACGAAGTGCTAAAATTAAAGTTCGTGTATGTAAATTTTGTAGGTATAACTATGGATGGAACAAAAGATATGAATTATGCCAGTATTTTGATAATTCAAAGACTTAAATAATTTCTTTGCACTGAATAAGTAGTTTCCGAGTTTATCCCGAACAAAAAAAAGAGACTTCATTTTATATAGTAGTATAGATTATGAATCATTATAAATAAGTTATTATTATTATTGATTCTATATTTTTTTAAAAGTGAATTGAATAAAAAAAAAAAAGATTTAATAATTATAGGCCTANTAGTTTCGTATACAAAATAGGAAAGGGAATTGGAATTGCTTATGCACACATCTGAATTAATATTGTTTCTCATATTTATAGAATACTAACTGACCCGGCAATCCTTCGCCATTGCAAGATTTCTCAAATATTAATTTGCTATTTATTTTCTGGATGATTATTTTTATTTTAGACCACTTTTAGTCACGTCTCCGTGGTAATGTAGCCATATAAATTTAGCGTCGCCATCGCGGATTCTTCATAATGTTGAAAAAAACTTGGGTTGTGTCAATAGAAAAATTGATGCTAATTGCCAATTTTTTTTATTTATTATAACATACAGAAATATACAGAAACTTTTAATATTTATTTTATCATTCGTTGCTTGAAATTCGCCATTGCCTATTAAAAGTAAATCTTGACAAAATTTATATTATCTTGATCTGTACATATCATTTTCATATTAGTTTTTAAGTTCTAATATTTTTATATAAGGCAATTAGTAGGATCTTTTCAAAGACGTGCGATAAACTTCTCGGAAAAACGCCGATATCAAACACAATACAAAAAGGTCAGGTTGCAGATAGCTGGAAACCCGTGGGCCACCGTGCCACACAATATATACAATAATATATATAGGTATACAATTATTTTAATTAATAATAACTAATTATTAATTAACTTTATCGGACTAAATTTATGCCTAAAACCTTCTCTATGATGCCCTCTTTAATTTAAAAAAAATTGCACGACGATTGAATAAGTAGTTTCGGAGTTTATCCCGAACAAAAAGAAGCGACTTCATTTTATATAGTAGTATAGATGTAATGTAAATCTGTAAGCAACGATAAATAAATGCTAACGAATAAATGATTCTGAACGCAGTTCAGTTGATCGTGATGTTTTGTCAGAAATAGATGGGTATATAAGTCATATTACGGTAAAAATATTAAATAGGTATTAAGTATTTTCTTCCATAATTTATGTTTAATTTTGAACCAATTTTTGGGTTACGTAGTGCGTTTTGTTTGATAATGTGTAATTGCGTATGTGTATGTGTGTGTATGTGGATGTGTTTACAATTAAAAATATGGTAACAAAAGAGGTAACTAAATAAAGTTAAAGAAGGTAAATTAATTGGTAACTATATAATAAAAGTACAATATAATAATAATAAAAAAACCTCATAGTAAGAAGGTGCACTGCTGGCTAGATGCTATATTGCTATCTAGCTAAATATAAATTAATAAAAATACAACACACACGGGGGGAAGGTCCAAATATGTTTTAAATATACTATACATTTATATTTTTTTTTTTTTTACGTTCAAAGCGTTTTTAATCATTTCAAGGAGTTCTGGTCGTTCTGGACAACCGAACACGTCCTCAGTTCAATATTCCTAATAGCCCTAAACAAATAAATGTATTAATCATATTATATTAATATTCTTATAATTAATTAGAGTAATAATTCTATTGTTCTTTTTTTATCAGCCGCAAATCGAACAATTATTTTATCCACGTCAATAATCCACGTGTATGTCCCCGTGTGTATTGAGTAAAGCTAAGCCAATCAACCTTTTTTCGCCCGTGTTTCCTCATTTCATCCACGTTTTTAATCTAATAAACAAAACAATAAGCAAAATACTAAAAGCAGGATATATGAATAAGGATAGCAGAATAATATGAATAATAATAATATGGTAATTAGTTGGGCAGAAAAGTTATAGGGCATACAATTTGTAAGATTTGTAGATTTATTTTAATATAAATTACATCAGATCAAAATACAAATTAACACTAAATCGTATATGGAAAAATTATACATTCTGACATAGAAGGTAGTTCGCGCTACAGCCACAGAACGAACACTGGTCAGCTAACTACAACGATAGTCGACCGGTTAGGTTGAACGATTACCCAAACGCGATAACAAAAACCGTTCTCGTCGCATATATATATATCACAAATATCACACCTCCCCATTAAGACTAAACATTATTTAAAAGAAAAAAAAAACAAAATAATACAATTTTAAATTCTTAAATTAATGTTTAAGCAAACAAAAAAAAACAAAATAAAATATACAATATTCTGTTACAAAAAACAATGATATAACTACAATTATACACGGATGAAAATATTAGTTTACATTTAAAACAAAATCTTTTAATTTACTTGGGACTTTTTTGGTCCTCGCTTCTTTACCATTATCCTTATCTATACGAGCACTTCCCACGTTATCACTCTCCTGAAAATGTGTTTCCGTATCCACTAGTGTAACATTTATCATCTGATCAACGTGCCTAATGTACGTAATACCTTCACTGGATTCACATTCGTAACTCTTATTACCTAAGACAATATTAACTGTTGCTCTTATCCAAGATTCCTTACTCCCAGGTTTATAACACTTAATTATTACCTCATCACCTACATTAAAAACTTTTTCTTTACTACCATTATAATTTTTTATCGCCCTATCTTGTTTCTCACACACCACTTCCTGATCCGTTTTGTAAAGTAAATCTAGCCTACAACGTAGTTTCCTGCCCAACATTAAAAATGACGGCGATTCACCCGTAGTAGAATGTGGCGCAATTCTATAACCTAAAAGAAATTTGTTTAATATAACTGACTTAGGCGAATTTTTATTTTTTTTATCCGCTAATGCTGCCGATAATGCGCGTTTGGTAGTTTTCACTGCATTTTCAGCCGCACCGTTTGTAGCAGGGTGTCCCGGGGCTGTACGCAAATGTACTATTCCATTACTTTTTAAAAACGTAGTAAACTCGTGAGACGTTAATTGAGCGCCGTTATCCGACACTAATGTTAAAGGTAACCCCCATCTACTAAATATCTCGCGTAATTCGATAATAGTATTGCTCGCCGTAATACTTCTCATCTCTTTCACCTCTAACCACTTTGAGAACGCGTCTAAAACTACCAAAAAGTAACTATTATGGAATGGCCCGAAAAAGTCTATATGAACTCTCTGCCAAACACCACTCGGTCTATTCCAAGGTATTAACTCAGACTTCCTAGGGTTTTGTCTTAGCTGCATACAAAAATCACACGATTTAACTAAATTTTCTATCTGAAGATCAATCTTGGGCCACCAAACATACGATCTCGCGACTGCCTTCATTTTGACAACACCCAAATGCGTACTATGCAACTCGTCTAAAATCTGTTTACGCGATTTACTCGGTATTACGACTCTGTAACCTAACATTAAACAACCTTGCTCTACCGATAAATCGGTATGTCTGTCCTTGTATGGTTTTAAATCATCATTAATCGATTTTGGCCACCCATGAGTCACATAATAATAAACTTTACTGATAATCTTATCTCTGTTAGTTTGCAATTTAATTGTGTTACGATTTATCGGAAAATATTCGGATTCTATAAATGTCATATACGTACTTTGCGATTCGCTATCGACCGCAACGACGTCTCCCTTAATTGGTAATCTCGAAAGTAAATCCGACGTGAAATTATCGTTCCCTTTAATATACTCGAGTTTATATTGAAATCCAGCCAAAAAAACTGCCCACCTCTGAAATCTCGCAGATGCCATAGTTGGAATATTTTTATTTTCTCCCAAAATCCCTACGAGAGGTTTGTGATCAGTTCTAATTGTGAAAACTTGGTTTTGTAGGTATTGGAATAATTTCCTAACCGACCAAAAAATAGCTAAAGCCTCTTTATCTGTAACCGAATAATTATTTTCTGCTGGCATAAATGTTCTCGAAATAAAACTTATCGGTCGTTCATCACCGTCCGGCATTTTATGCGATAAACAACCCGCGATACCATCGTTAGACGCATCGGTCGTTAAAATAATTGGGAAACTTGGGTTAAAATGCACTAAAACTTTATCTGAAATGACCAATTCCTTAATTTTATCGAATGCTATCTGACAATCCGGAGTCCAACAGAAATGTTTGTTTTTCGTTAGTAAATTATAAATAGGTTTCATAATAATCGAAACGTTCGGTAAGAATTTAGAATAATAATTTACCATACCCGAGAAAGATTTAACTTGCGTTGTGTTGCGCGGTGCTGGCGCGTCTGCGATCGCTCTAACTTTATTTTCGCATTTACGCAAACCCACCGCCGAAATGATAAGACCTAAATACTCAATTTCACTTTTAAAAAATTCACATTTAGACAATTTAACTTTTAAACCCGCATCATTTAAAATGTTAAATACTTTGTCCAGATTATTCAGATGTTCTACCCTGTCTTGTCCGGTTATTATAATGTCATCCAAAAAATTTGCTATACAATCATAACCTTGGAAAAGTTGCTCTATTAACTTTTGAAAAATTGCACTGGCAGGAGCAACACCATATGGCAATCTATGTACTTGAAAAAGTCCTTTATGAGTGCTCCATGTTAAAATTTTTGAAGACTCGTCGTCTAACTCTAACTGGTTGTANATAATATCAAAACTTAAATTACTTATAATCCTTAAGATAAGCTGGGGTCTTTCTAATTCTTTCAGATTTCTTTACTGGTGCATTCCCCTCTTTTAATATATTTTCTTTTTCTAAGTTTTCCTCACCACTATTTGATATCAACCTATGTCTTAAAAACCATATATTCCTTAATTGCGTTCCGCCATTAACAACCTTCACTTTGAAATTTCTATCATTAGTACCTTTTTCTACTATTAAACCTTTACTTCAAAAACTGTTTCCATTTTTAATTTGGATCCAAACTGGGTCACCCACCTCAAAATGTTCACTCTTTCTGGCTGTTCTATCATACCATTTTTTTTGTTTCTTGGATTTCTTAATTAACTCTTTCTTTACCACACTATAATCTTTAACCTTAGAATTGTCTACATTGGGAATCAATGACTTCACTTTTCTCTTGAACAATAACTCCGCTGGTGCCGGAATGAATTCACTATTGTGATTGTTCCTATACTCCATCAGACATTAATTCCAATCAAGACCATCTTCTAAAGCTTTACTCAACATTTTCTTTACTGTTTGAATAGCTCTTTCCACCATTCCATTAGATTGAGCATATGTTGGGGAAGAATTAACCAATTCAATGTCAAAATCCTTAGCAAATTGTTTGAATTGCTCTGAAGTAAATTGTCTGCCACCATCTGATTTCAAAATCCCTGGAATTCCAAATCTAACAAACATAGGAACCAATTTTGATATGACATGTTTGATTTGTCATGTCTGACATTCTTGATTTTATTAACCTCCAAAAATTGGTCCAACTGTTCCTGGTAGATCTGCCACGTATCAACATTCACATTAAATTGCGCTAGGCTTCCCAGATACGATGCCATATTTTTTATCTTCGTCGCCAATGTAAGATTTGTAGATTTATTTTAATATAAATTACATCAGATCAAAATACAAATTAACACTAGGTTAGGTTGAACACAAAAACCGTTCGCGTCGCATATGTCAGTATTTTTAGAAATAATGATTGTTAATACATTCATAAATCATTTGATGACAATAAATATATTTGATAAATTTAATAGTCAAACACAATACAAATGTTCTGGGGATTGGATATTTATAAGGTTACACAAGTGTAACCTTAACTCACAAATTAAATGAGCAACTAACTCATATTTTAGGTGTTTTACGTGTAAACAGAAAAGGCAATCCAAAAGATATCACAAACAAAAAAATTTAAAAATGTCAAATTATTGCACAATAAAGTAATACTATTGTAGTTATACTCAAATAAAAAAACAAAAGGGATCTCCTAATGTTGAGTACAAAACATATTGATACAACCACAGCAATAACCAAAAGAAATCAAACCATTAATAAATCTGACATGGTCATTGAATATAATCAGAGGAAGAGTTTTATTAACAGAAGTGACCAAATGACATCATATTCTATACCTTTGAGAAGTTTGAAATGGTACCGCAAAGTTACTTTTGATATTTTTCTTGATACTTGTCTGACTAATGTCTTATCACTATTTTGTACAGTCAATAATAAAAAAATTAAAATTACACAATTCAAGGAACAAATAATACTTCATTTAATTAAAAAACCTGAATCTCCTGCACTACAAATTTCAAAGAATTATTTTTTAGAAAAAATAAATTCTCCTCCTAAAAAATGTGTCAATTGTTACAAAAAACTTGAGTCAGAGTATGGCAGAAAAAAATCTCAAAATAAATGTGTTAAAGTCACTTCACTACAATGAGTACAATTTGTAAAGCTCCTACATGTATGGCATGCTTTTTTGATTCTCATTCAATTAGACTTACAAATAAAATATAAATATTTCCTTTTTATATTACCACTATTATTATGTATTATCATTGCCTATATTTTTTTTTTTATAGTTTAACTAAAAGATTTATGTTATGTTTAATTTTTTCATGAAGGTAAATTGTTAAAGTGCTAAAGTTGTTAAGTTTTTAAATTTCTTTTGTTATTGGTTGAGATAAAAATTGTATTAATAAAAATGTTATGTTATGTTAAAATATTATGTTATATATTATGCATTATGTTGTATTACAACATGTTTTACTAATTAAAATGCAAATATTTATTTTATATTTCATTATGGATAATGTATGATAATGGATAATTTTCAACTTTACTAGTGAAATACAGATTTTCATGGTTTATATATTTATTAATTTAGTTGAAGGGTCAAAACACCTCTCAAAAGCAAGAAATGTGTGATTCACATATTTTGCGCTACTGAGGGATACTATGACCCCTCACATTCTACAGGTGAATTAACACATAAAATGGTTTTAACATAGATTTATAACTAATAATCATAAAAGAAATAAGTTAAAAGTTTTAAAAAAATATTGTGGCCTTAGTAGACACTGAAAAGTCAACATGTTAATAATATTATCTTTATTTTATTGATAACTGACATAGCCTATCGATTATTTACTATCCGTAGTTCTATAGATATATATATATATATATATATAAATAACTTAATAATAAAAAAAAAAATAAACTAGTACCTTAAACCTCCCCAAATAGTTGAACAATTAAAACAATTATTGATTTTATAAGTTACGGATTTTAAATTTTTACATAGAAAAAGTAATAATTAATCAAAATTAAAGCATATTACATATAATTATACACAAAATGTTCCAGAAAAGAATGGGAAACTCTACAAGATGTAACTCTATTTATGACTATAATAATAGGTTTATTGGAAGTTTATTTAATGTAAAAAATGTTGATTAATCGGTTTTGTTTGTAAAATATCCGTACAAATAAAAATAAACTGCACTAGAATATTTCTTGTATAAGTCTCTTACAAAATATGGGGTCAATTAATTTTTACCAAGAATAATCATCACTGTGATTTTTGGCTTATCATGTTCAAAATTATAATTTTGGTAATGCATGAATTTGTATGTCCTTTGTTCAAGGATTTCAATGAAATCAATTATTTCTTATCTAAACACCAATTTAATGATACTCTCAGAAAAATAAATCAATTTGATTTTAAGAAACATAATAAATACCTAAATTCAGTTGTTTTTATTGAGTCTTATTATTATTATCTGCAAACAAATTATTTGAGCATATATTTAACCTTAATAATAATAATAAAATTCAATAAAATTCATAGGTATTTCAAATACCTATGAAGACCTAAAAGAAAACATATAGCATAGAAAGAGTTAATTTAAGTATTTTATACAAATGTCAAATTTCTACAATTAATTTAACTCAATTTTTATAAATAAAAACAAAATCGAAAATTGGTAATGATAATCTTACAGAAGAAAAAAAAAACCAATACACTTTTTGTTATACTCAAAATCTTAAATGCCATTCTGTATTAATCAAAATATGAATAATATACTACAAAATCAAATATTGTCTTAAAAAAGTGTAACATATTCTTTTTATATGGTTTTTATGCCTTCACAATAAAAAAATTTAAAAAAACCACTACTTAAAATCAGAAATATTATATTTAATAAAAAAAATCTATTTAGACTTCATTAGCATACTTTTATACAACCAATAATAATATTTTTGTATTAAAATGTGTACAGTTAAAATATTTAAGTCCTTATGTTGGTAAATAAAAATAAAAATTTGAATGTACGAAAAATATAATATAGACAATTGTAATCAATTTATAACAATATAAATAAAATTATTAATTAACAATCATTATGAAGGATCTACTACCACTATTTATAATAATACTATGTAAACAGATATGGAAATAACAATGGACAATATTTGCATCTTACCTAGAATAAAATATGCTATACTGAATATTAGATAATGTTTCAAAATTAGATTTAATAATAAAAATTATGTCTATATAAAGTCCATTATTAGCTACAGAAATATCTAGATAACAGTGATAGTAAGTAATACAATTACATAATATAATAATTAGTAAGTTAACATGAATAAATTTTTAGAAAGTTAATTTATTAAATTATATTATTTAAACCAAAAAACTAAGATAACATTGATTTTGTTAACTATAAAAATGCATAATTTAAAAAAAAAAAAAAGGTATATTTAAACAAGAAATTTGGGTTAAAAAAAATAAATATATAAATAATATAATTATTTATGTATACAACAACAATTCATTTAAACATTTTACTTTTAAAGTAATTTTATTAAAATTTGTAAATACTAATTAAAATACTGGAATGTTTCATCATTTAATGGGTTTGTTTTTTTTAACATAGGAATCTTTTCTTTATTATATAGATGCATCATAATAGTATTATATTAGTTAGTTATATGAATTATAAATATCTTTGATATCACATAAATTAATATTTTGCAATAGAATGATATAAAATAAGTTTTAAGAATAATTAGTAGAAAAAACTTAGAATTATTATAAAACTATGTTTTCTCTATCAGAAATATATTATTAACATTAACGAATAACATATGATGAAATCACATCATTGTTATATAACTGCAGGTTGAACATAGTTTGCAGGTAACATACCAGATTCACCTGTTCTTTGCACAACACCGGTCATCCAACCATCATCTATAGCTGCACAATTAACAATTAAATCTCCATCAGTAAATGAAACTTCATCCAAATCTTGAGCCTCATAATCATACATAGCTCGGTAAACTCTCTAAAATATATATATATAATAATTATTGTGAAAATATTTAAAACAAATAAATAATTAAATAAAGCAAATACATACTCCAAGGTTAAAATTTTTACTATCAGAACTGTTAGTAAAATTAATACTGTTATATGCTTGCTGTTTTTTGATAGGGTCATAGTCAGCTATTGAACCAATCATGTGATCATTATTGTATGTGTTGGTAACTGTAAATTTTGTTCATACTTGTTAATCATTGATAATATATTCAAAACATACTTTAAAATATTAACCCAGATTTTTTTTAGATTCTGTATGTAGCTAGATATATTGGTTTTCTAAGCTATGTGTATTTTTTTTTTATGTGTCTGTTAGTAACTTTTCAATTAAAATTCTTACTCCAATCAAAAAAATACAAGCCTTTTTTGTTTACTTTGGATCTAATTAGTGAGTTGAGTAAGTTGGTTTTTGATTTTCAGTGTAGTGTATTGTGTAAAAAGCACATCATAGTAAAACCAATAGATCCCTTATTTCACTCTGAATCTAAAATTACCTAAATCTCCACCATCAGATGAATAAATTAAAGTAGATGATTGGCGATTTAAACATGCAGGAATTTTAGTTGAAACATCTTCAACACTGGAATGATACTGCGCATTTTCAAGTTTTTGAGGTCCATACCTAGTACTTCCAATATTATAATTTTGTTGCACTTTATTTTGTTTATCCACATTATTGAGATCATGATCTTGAATAGGTTTATTGACCATAACATTTTTAGCTATTTGAATATACAAAGTAATATAAATATATAAATTAATAAAATAAAGATTATATTTTTAAAGTTACTAGTTGGTTCATTATTATTTGATGCATTATTTCCATTAGATAAATGTCTGCGTTGTTCCATTTCTGCTTTCTTTAAAAAATCGCCATGATATGCAGCATTACTAATTAAAAATTAATTTAAATAGTTAAAATAAATAAAGATAAATTACTTAACCCAAATCCAAAACAGTAATTTATTATTTACCTTATAATTTTTGAATTAGCTTTTATTCTCAATGTTTCTGGGTCATCTGCAACTTGTGTTAATTTTCCTTTAGTTTTTTCAAATTCTGCATGATATTTTGCCTGCAAAATTTAATTTCAAAAATATATATTCACAAATAGCACAACAAAAAATTAATTTAAATTATTCATAAACTTCATTTTAGAATTATAAATATCAATAAGGGCTTTTAAAAGTATCTAATCTTAAGTATCAGACAATATTTATTATGTTCTCAATGTTCCCAGAGTTATAATATTGATATATAACTAGTGATTAGTGGTTGTCAACATTATGTTATTTCAGAGCAAACTTATCAAGTTTTAGATAATAACGATCACACATTTATTTAACATGAGAATATATGGAGTATCTAACATCTATCCTAACATAGTATTATTTACCATACAGGGTGTCTTACAAAGATATACATTTTATACACTATATACACTTAATATCAAAAAATAAATTGCACCTTTTGTAAATTATTTTTCAAAGTAATATTATCTATACACCCCCATACTAAACTATCTCCTTAATACAGGCTTGTACAAACCATTCGCCCTGCCTTCAGTACACTTTCCTTTGTAACAGAATAGACACACCCACATTTTATCCGAAAAGAGCACAGTCCTTCATTGGTCAAGAGTCCAATTAACATGTTTATGGACAAACTCTAACTGTTCCTTGCCATATTGTACTGTCAGTTACTCATAATCTCTTCTCCTAACCACATGTGTGCTTATTGTTGTATTGCAAGCTACAAAGGGTTGCTGTTGTAGCTCTACAGCATTAGAAAATCGATTGTGCAAAGATGTTGAGACAATAATAACCTGGTCTCTTTTGGTCATGCAGCGTTGTTGGCCAGATCCACACCTCCAGATGAAGTCACCAGTCTCTTGATACCGATAAAAAACCCGTCAAACAGCAAAATGGCCTAAGTTTAATTGCTGTGCAACATCACATTGTCACATCCCTGATTTCAGTAGTGCCACTACTTGAGCCGATTCGTTAGCAATGGTATCCATTTTAATAAGTTTTTTTTTAAGCTAATAATTTAAAGTGTATTCACGTATATTCTATGCAAAGTTTATATAGTGAATGACCTGCATTTGACACTTTAAACTGCTATTTCTATGACCTAAGAATATAAGACAAGATAGGGTATATTTATACATTTTTTTATATTCTGTATACTTGGAATATAATTATTGTTTATGAAATGAGACTATTATCTGATAAGAGGTCATTAACAGTACTTTCAATATCTATATTATTTGTATTAAATGTACTGGATCAGGGAAATGCATGTTTGAAACTTATTTTTAAAGATATGGGATTTTTGTGACACCAACTGTATCATATTTAGAAATGGATGAATGAAAATGTTAGCGAATTGAAGCATTGATGATAATAACAATATTTGGGGAGGAAACTCAAGTGAAGAAGAGAGGACATTTTACAAAAAGATCATAACACAGATATTAAACAATCCGATATTTCTGATGAAGAAAACTCATAACAGTCAGAATATCATTTTGTAGGTAATGTGATTCCAAATAATGATAATTACCATGAATCAGATGATGAGTTACCACTTAGCATGAGAATATTGTCATGGAACTAGGTAGAATAAAGGTGCGTCAAATCAGAGTTCGAACGCCTAGAAAAAATTATGTTAATGTTAAATTATTACATTTTATAATTCTACAAAAGGAGCAGTTGATAATATGGACAGGATGACAGAATATTATACAGTTGCAAGATGGAGTCATAGGTGGCCACTTATAGTATTTTATTCAATTTTAAATAATAGTGCAGCCAATGCTCAAGTTCTATATCACGAAAACAGTCTAACTAAATATACTAATTTTCAATTTTTAAAAATCTTTTTAATGAAAAACTTTCAATTCCGAAAAATATTAAAACACAATAATGTTTATGGATACAAACCAAAATTATAAGTAGGTAAGCAGCAGATAAAAGGTAAATTTTTAAATGAGTTAAAAATAATAAATACAAATTTATTTTTCTAATAATTAAAAGAATAAAACATGTAAAATTAAAAGTATTAATCAAATTTTATATAATTTTTGTTATGTACAATAAAAATTAAATTTAAAATAAATATTATAAAAAAATATATTGTTTAATCAAGGGAAATCTGTACCCATATTCATAATGCATACAATCTACTAAAGGTTAAGATACATGGAATAGGGGTAAAAAATTTAAAATGGTTTTAAAATACAGCTTAACCAACCAATTCCTTAATGATTAAAATAAAAAACAGAAATCAAATTTACTTAAATCCTCTAAGAAAATTGCTGGTTCATGATAAAAAAAAAATCACCTGTATAACTAGAGAACTTTTACTTTATCTACAGCTATCAACAAATATGCTACAAGAATATTGTAACATCCAAATAAACCAACATATACAACACTTTTCAACAATTGATAAGAAAACACGTTTAATAATAACTCAAATATAAAACATGAACAGAATAATAAAAGTAAAGCAAACTTCATCTAGAAATAATATACATAATTACTTAAGACGTTACAGACGTCATAGTTAACACCATAATAATCAATAGATATGCTGAGTATAATATTTTTTTTTTAAACATTTTATTTTAAATAAAATAACAATTTCATTTCAAAAAAAAATGTAATAATTTATTTGTTTTCAAATAAATAAGTAATTAATAATCAAATACTTACTAATAGTTAATACTATCCATAAAGATGGCATGAAATAATTGGATAAATTATAATAATGTATAATAGCTTAATATTTGATTAATTATAATAATCATTTTAATCAAAATATTTAAGTAATAATCATAATTACTTAAATGGCTATGATTAATCTACAAAATATATGGTTTACATTTACTTACATTTGATTGCAGTTTTGTATTCTCAGCGATTCTTTTTAACTCTGGTGTTTCAGCAACAGTTGTATGTTTAGCTTTTGGAATGTGTCTAAAATAAATTGTATAACTGATTAATGTTAAGATTTAAAAAAAACTAAACTTAAGTGTTTAATATAATTATTATTATTATATAATTTTTTAAACTTTTAATAACCAACAAAATATAATTTTTGCACTGAGAACATTTTTCAATAATCAGATCAGACACTTATATAAAATGTTTGTTTTTCTTCAAAAAAATGTGCAATTTATTTCTCATATATATATATTATTAACATTTTTTAAATAATACAATGACTATAAATTTTATTAATGTGTATTATAGATATAAATGAAAAATTATTAAGTATTCCATGATATAGTTATAGACTATACTTATGTAGTAAGGTCATATAAAATTGTATGATGCAGACAGTCCGCCCCAAACTATACAATTTAAATGATTATGTATAAATACTAATCTTTAATTTAAAATAATTAATACTTATTATTAAATTAGTCTATATGTAATCATAGAACCATAGTAGCACAAGTTTAGTTGGGTTATAATATATAATCTAAAGTTATAACCAATTGCTGTCATTTGTATCACACTATGTGCCTTACATTACAAATAAAAGAATAATCTTAAAACAAACAGTAGTATAATTTGCATACCTAATTAAAGAATATTTAGAATAATAATTATAATAATTTGGTTACAATATTACTTTATTTGATTTATTAATAATATTAAATCATAATAATAATACACAAAATAATTTGTATATTAATTTGGGTAAGCCTATACAATCTGAACAGATATAATTTAATAAAATTGGGCATAAAATCAACCAGTACCACCACCCTAAGTGAATGTTTCTAATAGCTTACTTTGTCTGTAAATATATTGCTTATACAAAAATATTTGGTTTAATAAAAAGTGAATATTATTATTTTTTTTTTTTTTTTTTTTATGAATAAGACCACTATTTATTTAATTTTAATAACAATGTTAGTAGACAAATGATAGAATAAAAGTTATCAATCTTTTATTATTTTATTTCAAAATGTCAATCAAATATTCAAATTGAGTGTTTACATTTTAATTTATTCTAAATGTACAATATTTTAGTATTTTAATATATAAAGCATTATTCAATTAAAATATGTTAAAGTGTTTATTAAACTATACAATTTAAAAAACCATCAAACTTGTATTACTTTCCCAGTGGTATAGCCAGAAGAGATATTTAGATTTGTAAACCCTCCCTTTGGTTTTTTTAATATAAATATGGATAAGAAGATTGTATACCTTTAAACTCTCCTAAACCCTTCTCATTGATAAATTCTGACAACACCTTTGTACCTACCTATCTCATAACAGCATATTATGAAATTAATATACATTACCTTTTAGTTATTAACAAATGACTAATATCAATTATTTGTGTTATATTTTACCAAAGAAATATAGCTTATTTATGTTGTCTTATCAGAAATTTAATAAAAATATTGTTTCTGTGCAACCATTTATATAATAACATAGTTTGTAATACATTAATACTAGCACCTAATTTAATATTATGCACCTATAAAATACAAACAAGATCTGCCTGTAAGTCTATGGTAAGCAAAATAAATTTAAACAATATTAAATACTCACGCATCACAGAAAGGTTCTTTGTTGAATCCTTTATAATTTCTCATATTTAATGTCATGCCACAAGATTGACATTTAAAACACTGTTTGTGCCAAGCCTAAAATAAAATAAAAATTTGACTATCAAAAATTAAAATAGTAGTATGGTACCTAACTGCATCATGATACAGTAATGTAGGTAGCACATTAGTACATTTAGTATTAAATATTAAATTTACCTTGTCTAAACATTTCAGCTCTTCAATAGGATAAACAGTTTTATCACACCTGGCACACTTTTTGTTCATCTTATATTGTTGTCAAAAGTAAAATATTACAAAACAAATACAGCGACAGAAGATACTGTATGAAGCCAATAACTAGGTAGTATTGTATTTTGCCGTGTAGATACCTACAAAAATGTATAAACGTAAAATAGAAAACTATATAGGTACCTATTTCTTGCGACTATAACGACTAAGGCCACCTATAATAAGAATGAGTTATGAGAAAAAACGTAAAATTTAACAAATGAAACGTCACACGTCTAGCACAAAAATTAACAGTTAGTTGAGTACTTAAACAATTAAAATGTCGTGTATATACTCGATAACTTTGAAACGATACTCGGAATACTTTTGAATCGATCGCGATTTATTATTATAAATTAAATGTTATTATTCTCTTTAGGCGGGCCCGTATTAAACATCTAACACCAAAAAATAATAATTGATATTTGATAATGTCCAAAAAGAATCGAACGGTACACTACCACTACTTACTATGTACTACCAGTTAACAATATACAATGTAAATTAATTCGTAGGAATGATATGATTTTCCCTTTCACTTTTATTTCTCCTTTTCGATGATCTCATGCTGAGTAACAACGTAACTACTATGTGGTAGGGTAGTGCAGGAAGTGGTGGCGGTGGTATGACTGTACGAATATTATTATTATTTTGTTACAATATTACAGATTTCATTGCGTGGCCGCTGCCGTCCGACGACCGCGTATTTGCAAGACAAAGGTGTGCTGATACTCCGATTACAAACGCGTTCCGATTGGACAGCACCCGAAACTGCAGCGAACTAGAGGGGCGCGTCGAGTAACAGGTATGCTCGAAAGCCGTCACTGATAGTTAAATAATTCTCGACTTCATCTGCTATTGTATTTTTTTTCCTACACTTGCTAACGATGTAGCTCATCAAACCCCCACTTCTTGAGATGATCCTCTAATATAATATTATTATAATATCCGTCTTGATTCATTTTGCAGAATACAAATTACAAAACCATCGTCGAGAACTAACGATATTATATTAACAAATGAAAGTAGTTGGGTAAGTAATTATTTAATCATTTAAAAAAAAATATGTTCGAAAATGATAAAATTGAAATTATACATTGTAAATACTCCACCATTGAAAATATAATTAATTACAACCCACTCTAGACATTTGTTTGATTATACCGGGATCTTCATAGTAATTAAAGAATGGATAGGCCATGGCTATACCAACAAAATAGAGGAAATTATCATTGCTAGACGCAGATATTGGAGATTATAGACCTTATAATAATGAAAAAAATGTATGAATATAAATCATTAAATTATATTGTAACTGTTATATTATTAATTTCATTATTTGACTTATTTACTCCTAATTAAATTCTTAATAAAACGGCTGTATATTTATATATTAGAACTATAGTATACCAACTAAATTATCATCTCGTAATACTTTTATCTATTTGTGTTAAGACCTCTATAATTTGTATTTTCATGTTCTTTTTTGGCGCGTCTATGATGGGGTATATATTTGTATATATACTAACACAGTATATATATATATATATATATACTGTGACTAAAATCTCTACCATAAATCTTGCTTCAATATGTCAGTATAGCACCTTTTTTAAAAGAAAATATTGTCATATTGACTAGAGGGTATTTAGGAAAGTCTTATTTAATTTTCTAGCAGTTTTCATAACACCAGGAAGACAGAAAAATCCCAGATAAAACGTAAGAAAAACTGGATGATTTACTACGAAAATAATGCTTTTATTATTTCCAATTTTATTTTTTGTTGTTATTCAGTTAATGATATTCGTAGAGACTTGAAATTTGGACAAAAAACTTTTATTTGCCTTTTCATGACGTGTTAAAATTGTTGAGCAATTTATAGACATTTTAACTTTGCTTTTTTTTAATGCAATTTTTATTTGGTAGGTATTATCTGTGAATAAAATCGTTAGACTAAACAGAAATGCTTAAGAATTTAACATAAGGTTCATTAAAAGTCATACTTTGTAGTTAAAAACAAAATGTTGAGCAGAGGCACTTGCTTATCACTTCTAAATATTCATCGAAATAAAAACAGTAATATAATAAATATTGTTGATCAAACCGTTCATTATCATTATTTATATAATGTGAAAAAAATTAATTATATTTTTTAAATTGTACTGTTTTACTGCATTTGTACAATATATCTGCAGTCTTCTATAAGCTAATATAAGTTGAAATGACATCAGACAAAGGTTTTAAGTTTTTGTAAATAAAAGCGGTGGTAATCAAGAGTAAAAATTGGTTACCACCTTCCCCCCTATGAAATTGACCCAAAGATGCCCCTGAGCAATACTATTAACCGAGCTCCGCTCAGAATCGTTTTTCGTTGGCAATGCTTACATTTTCTTAAGTATAGATGTACATTAAATTTCCTTCAATATCTTACCTTCCCAACTTCTCATCTATAAAGGTAGTTACACACGTAGAGGAAATCCTCAAGGCCCGGCCTCAAGGAAAGGCATCGCCACCACACGCTAACCACACGCCCGGTAATTACTCGAGGATTTTGTCATTTTTATTCATTTACATTTCCATACTACCTACGTGTGTACTTAATCGCGTACCTACTGTAATTTTTTCGTGGACGCATAATAAGTACTCTAGTTTAAATAATATAACATCAACATCTGTTGATGCTCCAGACTTAATGGATTCTTTTATTTTTTTGTTTTCCTTTCTATAAGCACTTCTCATATTATTTATTTTTTTTTTATTACGCTGTCTCTTGTGGCATTTGGTTCAATTTCCTTTTGTTTGTTAACTAATTTGGCATACGCAAAATCTTTCTTGTTCCTGTCATGGTAATCTTTTGATTTGATGTGCCAAAGACAAGGTTCGCTTTCATACAATTTAATGAGTTCGTCAATAAATTCATGGCTCATTTTAAATGGCTAGGTACACACGAGTCACGAAGAGGAAATGATAAACTTTAAATATTTATAAACGTTTGGATGCGGCTAAAACAAAATGAAAATAATAGTGATATCGCATAAATCCTCTAGGCAGACCTCACAGTGCCTCTACACGTGCGAATTTGAACTGTACAGTCTGGCCTGCACAGTTTTTCTTTATTGAAATTCGAAGAGAATTTTCGGACTGAGCAGGCTGACATAGGCCTCAAGGCCGATCCTACACACGTGAAGGAAATCCTCAAAGACTGGACTGCGCAGTCCAAACCTTGAGGATTTCCTCTACGTGTATACCTACCTTAATAGTGGTCCACCCATCTCGAGAAGTATATCGATCTTTTTTTCTTATCAATCATTATTATTAAATTTAATTATTTGGCCCCCCTCCTCCCATGGTCATGGTCTGGAGACGCCCCTGGTTCGTTCCCGTATGTTAGCATAGATAGCTTATCTATTCTTTAATATCTATGGGTATTTTTATTTTATTTTTATCAAGAAATTCGTTGACTTGTAGTTAATACACAATATCATTATCACTTCTGTAGTCCATATTTATTTGTTATTACACCGTACACATACCTTCGATTTTTGATACAATAGTCACTTGAATCTTTATAATTCAAAAAGAAAGGTAAGGTAATGGGAATGGGTGTCAGCAATTGGTGAAGGTGGAAAGTTGGAAAGATAGAATACAGAGGGGAATTTAATGTATATCTGTAAGCAACGATAGACCATTGTTAACGGAAAAACGATTCTGAGCAGAGTTCAATTGATAGTGATACTTTTTCAACAATATATATACCATATTATGGTAAAATAATTAAATAGGCTTTATATATTTTCTTTAATAATGTTTGTTTAATGTTGTACTGATTTCCCCGGTTTTCCTATGTTTTTCGCATTTGATGAGAAAATTCTTGATAAAATCGAAATATTACCTTCAAGGTACCTTCTCACTCAGATTTCCTTTCAGAAAAGTTGCTAGTCATTTTTTAGTTTTCACAACAAATGGGAAAAACTGAGAAAAACGAGAAAATCGGTATACATATATTATTTAAGAAAATATATAATGTCTTTTTAATTATTTGACCATAATATGACATATTTATTTACGACATTATTTATTTATGACATATTTGTTGATAAAACATCACTATCAACTGAACTGCGCTCAGAATCGTTTATTCGTTTGCAATGTTTTATCGTTGCTTACAAGTATACGATAAATTATCAATAATAGTGGCTACACTCGTCCCCATTATCCTAGGATGTCTTTTTTATTCTAATTGTAAAATGATAAGAGATTTAATTCATAATTTTTAAAAATATATACCTTTACAGAAGAACCATGACGATTTTATTAATTTTAAAATATAATTGAAATAATGTTTATTGGGAAAAACTGAGAAGAAACCAGATAGATGAACGGACAAATCATATAGAAATTAATATTTGCAATTTATCCCACATCCTCTTCAACTATCCCCCATTGGACCCATTATTTTCTAAACGCCATATTTTAATTGTCTTTGTTACCTCTTCCAGCTATTCTGTATTCTAACTCTGACCACATCATTAAAATAATTATCTCTATCGCCCTTGAGGCTTCGTCATTTAACTTGTCTTTTTCTTTTTATTATTATTTTTTTTATTTTTGCTTTACTTTATCTATCATTAATGTAAATTATATTTTTCTGGCTTAATAGTCTAACTAAAAGCTATAAAAAAAATAACGAACAAATATTTACGACGTTTCGATTTCATGATTTTACATTTTTGTACCTTATGTTTTCTCTTATAAATCTTATTTAAATCATAAAATGACAAGTGTCCTTTTTTGTCGTATTTTCCATCTTGTTATAGACGAAACAGTTTTTCTTTTTTTTTTTTTTTTGTTGATTTTTCAAGTAGTTTTCATACGAATTAAGAAAAACCAAAAAAAAAAGATGAAAACTAAAACTGAAAAAAATATACGAGCGTTACGATTTCGTTATTTTAAATGTTTACGCTTAATGTTTTCTACACGAATTCACGCAAGATATACAACGATTTCCTTTGTATATACCTTATTAGAGTTTACAATTATAAGGTAATAATTAAATCGATATTTTAGTACCTAGTTATTAACTTTTCGCAGCCTAGCAAGTATTGCACTATGTAAACAAAAAAGTTGACCATTTTATATTAAAATTCGTTAAAAATACGAACAATAATTATGTCCCTTTTTTGTTATATAGGTGTAGTTATTATAAATGAATCAATTTTTCTATTTAAATAATTTGTTAATCTGAACTTTGCTCAGAAAGTTAATCGTTTTTCGTTTACAATGATTTATCGTTGCGTATAAATCAAATTAAATTACCCATATCTATATACTATACGAAGTCTGGCTATTAAATAACGAGACTGATTATGAAAAATACTCTCCTTCCCTCTTCACACACCGTTTCATTCGTTTCTTCCATTGCTCGAGGCAGTACTGGAAGTCTGTTTTCGTAAGATCATTCAGGAGTTCCGCCGATTTTTGTTTCACCTCTTCCATCGACTCAAACCGGATTCCTTTTAAGGCAGACTTTATCTTTGGAAACAAGTAAAAGTCGCAGGGTGCCAAGTCGGGTGAGTAAGACGCGTGTTCGAGTACTGGAGTGCCTTAAGCGGCCAAATAACGCTTCACAGACAGCGCGTTATGGGCAGGTGCGTTATCCTGGTGCAAGATCCACGACTTGTTTTTCCACAATATCGACCGTTTCTTACGAACTCATTCGCGCAATGTTGCCAAAACTTTCAAATAGTAATGTTGGTTCACAGTTTGACCCTCTGGAACCCATTCAGTCATCACGATGCCATTGATATCGAAGAAAACGATCAGCATGGTTTTGAATTTGGATTACGACTGAATTGGATTCCGGTTCACTCTCGACCTTCAGGAAATAATTTATGCCACTCAAAAACACGCGTCCGAGATAGGAAATCCTCACTATAGGCCTCTTTTAACAACTTATAGCACTCAGTTGGAGTTTTTTTTAGTTTAATGAGAAAATTTTACGTTTATCCGTTGCTCATGTTTTTCGTCACACATCGTTTTCGACAAGAGAAAAAAACATGTTTGTTTCTAAACGCTACAGAAAAAATACTAATGCACCAACAAAAACCCAATTTTGTACTGGTATAATAGACACTTCCAACTAACCAGCGCTATATTCGGTTTTCCCCTAACCTTTTTGAGCGCACTCTGCGCGCGCAATCTCGTTATTTAATAGCCAAACCTCGTATATAAGAGCGGTACCTACCTTTTTAACCATAAGTGTATATTATATATAAACTATCAGTTAACGTCCGAAGGACATTATAGACAGATTTTGATTTTATAATTTGTTTTAACATCATGTTGAAAAGTGAACATGTGTGTACTCAATGTTATGTATTGAAACACTATATTTAGTTCAAGTAGCATAGTAGTATATAAGAACCGATATTATATTATGTCCGTTTGAAAGTCTGCAGCTACCATCTAGTACCTACAATACAATATAAATAGAAACAATGCTTTGAAATATAATATATTAACTACTACTATTTGTTTAAGTTTTATGCATATTAATAATTAGGCATACTATTATATTATCTACCTACTATAGGGCAGGACTGGGCTGCTATACTATTAACATATTAGCAGAGGCTAAAATAAATACATAAACAAAAAATAACCGCTCGCAAATTAGTTTCAATTTATTTATTTTGTATGTATTATTATTTAAGGAAAAATAGCCCATTTTTTACTTTTTTGTTTAAAGATAGGATTCTAAATTAATATAGTACCTACTTTAGTTATTATTTAGCATTATTTTAGATTTTCTCATAGGGACTAAATAAGTATATTTGTTTTTTTTTTTGTTTAAATAACCTTAAAACAATTTTATAAATACATAAACTAAACTAATACAATCTAATCATCACGAATATAATAAATATTAATTGCAAATAATATGATCAGTTTTGATTCTTTATTTAATAGTGTAATACCCAAGGTATTATAACTACTTTGGTAATACCTATATGAATTAAACATCGATAATAAAAGTACCTTTAATCTATTCTGTGTTTTTATCATCTTTGAAATTATTTATTTATTTATATATGTGTATATTTAAACGGGTGAACCCAGTTACAATTATAGACATACGTCTAGGATTTACAATAATATTTTTTGGTTACAGTTTATAAATATAAACATTTGTTCTAGGATAATGGGGACGGGTGCAGCCACTGTTGTAGGTGGGAAGTTGGGAAGGTAGGATACAAAGGGAATTTGATGAGCAACGATGAACAATTGCCAACGGAAAAACGATTCTGAGTGAAGTCTACTTTATAGTGATGCTTTGTAAACAATATATCATATTATGATAAAATCATTAAATCGACATTTTATATTTTATTTAATAATATTCGTTTAATGTTGTTTGTACTAATTTCTCCGTTTCCCCATGGCTTTTTCTGGTTTTTCATATTTACTGGGAAAACTCTTGGGAAATCGAAAAATAACTACCCTAAAGTACCGGCTTAGTAAAATTTCCTTTTAGAAACATTACTACCATTAAAAGTTAGAGCAAAATTGCTGGCAGAAAAGTTGTGCACAGAAAAAAAGGCCGTATATTTTAACCAATACCTACATTTTTTATATATTTTCCCGTTTTTTTTTTTTTTTCGAAAAATGACCTCCCGAAAATACCTCCCCACACCGATTTCCTTTCGAATAAGTGCCACACGTAGAAATTTGAGCAAGTCTTTTGGTAGAAAAGTTGTGGATAGATAATACACCATAAGCTTCTTCATTCCACTCAGAATCTAAAACTAGATTTGTTCCACATAATTTTTACTCAAACGATTTTCGTCAAAAATTGATATTAAAATTCCTTTATAAAAAAAAAATACTACATTAAATTCGTATCTTTTTTTTTTTTACCCCAAAGTAAGACTCTTAATGAACCTTCTGTTAAATTTTTCGAGTATTTCTGTTAAGTCTAACAATTTTACTACAGTATCAACCAAATAACAGTTACGTACAAAACTTGCTTAATGAAAATGTTACCACGTCTAGAAAATGCAAATATAAGTTTTCTGTCTAAATTTCAAGTTTCTACGAATGATTAAAATGAATTAAAACATATAACAAAATTGAAAACAATAATAAAATTATCATTTTCGTAAATTTACCGTTCTTCTTATGGTTTTTCCCAGATATTATGAAAAACGCTTGGAAAATCAAAAAAAGACTTCCTAAAAGTACCATCTGAAAAAATATTTCCTTTCAGAAATAGCACCGTGCGTATATATCTGATCGACATTTCTGGTCTAATTTTTGTACACATAATATTAATTAATTAATTAATTAATAAACATCTTTGTAAAACCAATACATTCTTTGCTACACTCAGAGTTTAAATAAATTAATTGTTAAATCTAGAATTCCTATTTTCTAGATAGCAAATACATGTAATTTAGGTACATTCTTACTATTTATTTTTGGATTTTGATTTGTGACTGTTGCTTGATTTTGACTTGGTGGATATGGCTCAAAAAGATAATTTTTAATGATGTTGAAACCAAAATTATATAGCTAAACTCAAAGAATTTAATTTAAAAAAAAAAACGTTTATTTTATTTATATTAATTTTAAACTAAAAATAATAATAATAATAAATGTGTGAACATAATTAGTTAAATAAATAGATATTGTTTTTTTTTAAAGTAATTCAATATTATTACTCTAACCAATCTTAATGATTATATTATTCATATAATCATATATACTTCATTTTAAATATCTAAATATTAAACATAACACTATTTAATAGCTACTATAAAAACTTAATCAAATCAAAATTCATTATAAATAAAAAATAAATAATATTAAGTTATTGTTAAATTGCATTTGTTTTGTAATATAAATCCATTAAATATTTTAGCTTTACAAAACACAATTGTTTAAATTACAAAATATGCTACAAACTTTCACTAAAATAATAAATCACTTAATAGTTAATATACTGTATTATTGCGTTAGTTTCTAAATCAACTAAGGCATAATATTTGTAAAGCCCAAAATTAAAATTCTCTATTTAATGTTTGTCATAGGGTAAACAGAAAATAAAAAGTTTCAGTGTTCTCTTTATTTAACTCATTATAAGTTATAACTTAAATTTTTCCTGTCAAAATGTTAGAATAACTTGTTGTTTATATATCGTGTGATTTAATTAACTATACGATCAATTTCAGTCTTGTGTAAAGTAAAGAAAATATAGAAACATATGTACTCACCAATTTTATACTCTCGGCCAATTTTATGTTGCTTCCGACGTAAATTTCTGTAAATACGGACTTGGGTAGCTCTTAATTTATTTATAAGAATATAAATTATTTTATACAATTTTTTCTTGGGTGACAGCGAGAGAACAAATTGTGTAATAATTATTGTACAATATTATTTAAATCCAAAAAATCATATGATAGTTTTATAAATGATTGAGCCTTAGCGCCTATATTATATAGATACTTATACCATCACCTATTTTTATATTATATTTTAACAAAATTATATAGGTACGAATATTACCTATCCAAAATTGTATCAAATATTAATGTAAACTAAATAAATTGGTGTGTAATAATACACATAATAGTGACATAGGTACTCATTTAAGTACGATAATTTTTTGTTGAATGCATAGATAAGTAGATAGGTATTATATAAAATACAAATTTAGGTAGGTATAAGATAATTAAAAAAAAGCAAACAAAATATGTTATGTAATATTCAAAAATATATGTTAATGTACCTACTTTATTAAATTAAAAATAATTAAACAAATCAATCAACATTACATTCATTTGCATAATAAAATAATAATAATAATAATCAGTATAACTTAGATATAAGATTTTCAACGTTTTAACTCTGAGCTTAATCCGCATATTATTGAATTGAGTTATACCCAACCAGTTAACCTTAAATAAAGTGTAGATAGATATTTAATATGACAATATTAGATAAGTTGAAATAATTAGACCCATCATGTTCGATGGATTTTTCTAGTGCAGTTAATATTAAATTGCATTCGATTTTTTTTTTCCAATCGGTTTGTCTTCGAGGGGGACATCGATTTGGATTTGTAGAAAAATTAAATGTTTATTTCACCCCCTAAACACAAAAAAAAAATTAACTATTTATTTATTCAATTTAGAAAATTTTCAAAATAACCATTTTTCAAAAAAATTGTATTTATCACGCATTCATATTCGATAAATAAAGTTATTTTTTTTTTGTGGTTAGTGTATGAAAATAAAAATTTAATTTTTATCCAAATCCCTGTCCCCCTCAATTGGACAAACCCATTGAAAAAAAAAACCGAAAAAAATATAATATTAACGCCACAAGAAAAATCCGGTGGGACACACTGTTTTCAAAAAAATGTAAATATCTGCAATACAATGTCATTTTTAATTTTCACATTTTTACAAATAAATAATATGCAAAGGTGCTTATGTAAAATAGGGATAGCAGAGCTTTGTTCATAGGAAAGGAGACTAGAGAATTTGAATTCTTCCTTCCTGGAAATATTTTCCAGGTATATCTCTGGACAACAGTGTGTTCCTGTATACATATGTTATATGAAATGATCCATTTAACATAAGCCAATGATTTTCACAGAGAATTTTAAATATATTCAATTCCTGTTTTTTATTTTAAATTGTTAACCCTTATACTTCGAATGAGTATATACTATTAGTTTTCAAATAGGAACCCTCCCTCCTTTTTAAACAAGGAAACAATTAGTGAAACTGTTTTTTAAAATGTTAATAGATATGCATAATACATATTTAACAGTTTTAATCTTAAGCAGAAAGTGTAAAAAAGTAGTCAATTCATTAGCTAAAAATGAATATACATTTTATTACCCAAAAATCAAATTCACTCGAAATCCTTTGAAAAAATCTCCGGTTAATAATAAATGGATCTTAGACTATAATATATACATTATATAAGTATTGCATTATATTATTTGATAGGAACATTGCTATAAAATGATTACTATTTACTGCAATATAACTAATGAGCATTTGAGAAATTATTTTTGAATAATAATATAGGTATCTGTATAAAAAAAGCTGATTCGGAATAAAAATGTCTACACAATAGCGCGTCGATAATAATAATAATTACGTTATTATACCAGGTATATTATATTTAACTAAATGTTAATGTTAAGTAAACTTAAGATAGTAAAGATAGTATATTGAACATCCAAACGAAAGTAGACTCATCCATAAAGAGAGCAACTCCATGACAGTGTAGTTAAACATTATACTGTCGACGGATAGCTCTCTTGATAGTTTAAGTCTTTTTTTTTGCATTGGTAGGTAGGTACTATCAGTACTGCAGTACAATACTGACAGCTATGGAATATTCTCTGCGACTTTTCCAGCATAATCAAAGTATCAAAACGCTTCTGTAAATACGCATAGATTCTCTAAAAAAAAATAAAAATCAATTAAACTTTACAGTAATAATGCATATTATACCTAAAACCAAGCTACCTATACCTATATCTAGTACTCAAATATTTTAGATTCTGAGTTTAGCGAAGAATGCATTGGTTTTACAAAGATATTTAGTTTTATTATTTTTCTATATTGTGTACAAAAATTCTACCAAAAATCTTGCTCCGATGTATACGATATAGACTCTTTGCTGAAAGGAAACTTCAAGGAGATCATTTTTAAATTTTTCGGCAGTTTTCCCAGTAAAAGTAAAAAGTGAGAAAAAAAGTAAGGAACACGGGAAAATTACGAAAAAAATGCTTTATTATTATTTTAATTTTGTAATTTGTTGTAATTCAGTTAAAAATATTCAAAAAGACCAGAACAGATAACTTATATTTACTTTTTTTAGACGTGGTAAAAGTTTCAAAAAATTTAAGTAATTTTTAAGCTATTTATAGCTACATTTAATTTTACTAGTTTTGTACGTAATTTTTATTTGGTAAGTACTTTGTGATAAAATTGTTGACAAACAGAAATGCTTAATAATTTAACAGGAGGATCATTAAGTCTTACAAAAATTTGAGTACTATTTTTTTTTTTTTAAAGAATTTTAATATATAATTTTGATGAAATTAATTTCATTAAAAAATTATGTGGAAAAAATTTAATTTTTCAATTTTAGATATCGAAGAATATTTTTTTTCTTACTAAGGTGTTTTATTTATTTAATTTTTTTTTTATACCGTGTACAAAAATTCGACCATAAACCTTGCTCAGATATATATGCGCGGCATCATTTTTGAAAGGGAATGTTGTCCAGACGGTACTTTTGAAAGGTTATTTTTTGATTTTCCAAGCGGTTTTCATAATATCTGAGAAAAACCAGGATAAACGTATGAAAAACGGGAAATTTACGAAAATAATTTTATTATTTTTTAATTTTGTTATTTGTTGTAATTAAAAATATTCATGGAAATTTTAAATTTGGAGAGAAAACTTTTATTTTCCTTTTCTAAACGAGGTAAAATTTTCAAAACATTTTAACCATTTTTAGGCATTTTATTAAAGCTTTGATATTTTTGTTGTAATTCAGTTTATAATATTCGTATTAACTCGATGGACTTAAAATTTGGAAAAAACTTATATTTGCCTTTTCTAGATATAGTAGAATTTTCAAAAAATTTAAGCCATTTTTGAGGTATTTATAGTTATTTTAATTTTGAGAATTTTGTACGTAATATTTATTCGGTAAGTACTATGTGGTAAAATTGTTAGACTTGAACAGAAATACTTCAAAATTTAACAGGAGGTTCATTAAGAGTGTTACTTTGTGGTAAAATTGTTGTAAAACAATTGAGTTTAATATAGTATTATTTTTATAGGGAAATGTTAATGTCAAATTTTAACGAAAAAATTATATAGAACAAATCTAATTTTTCAATTTCTTTTTTTTTTTTTGAACATATGTGTATTGCCTATTTAAGAATGATGGTGAAATTAGAATTGAGCAGACTGACTAAGTTTCGAAATAATAGCTTTTTGGAGTTCTGATATTATGCGGATATTATGTTATGTTAAATAACATAATATCCGTATATCTCCTTCTTAAAGTACATTTATCGTGATCTAATAGTCATTTATGCCTATTATGATCCTGGAGTTTCCGAGTTCAAACTAGTATGCCAAAAAAATGTTTTCCCTTTAATAATTCTATATTGCCTTCTCTCGAATATGTTTGTCGTAGCCGAATGGATGTAATGGTTATACATACCTATTATAATCCTAGGATTCTCGAGTTCAAGCCCGAATCCGTGTTTCGGAAAAGATTTTTTGTCCTTATTTTTTCCCTTTCACCTAAACAAGGAAAATATAAATATATTTAAGGTGTACCTAGAGACCCGGCTATCGCTTACTCGGACAATTTTATTCGAAAAATACCCCTCGATTTGTTGTGCAATCTTTTCTTCCAGAAATCTTGCTCTGATTTTTAAGTGTAACACTTTTCCTGGAGCAAATTGGAGATTTTTAAAGTAGTCGTTTTTCGATTTTCTTAAAAGTTTTTCCAACAAATGTGAAAACCAGGAAAAACCTGAGAAATTTAGAAAAAACGAGAAAATCTGTACAATATTAAACAAATATTATTAAAGAAAATATATGATGCCTATTTATTTATTTTACCATATTATGACAAATATATTGTTGACAAAGCATCACTATCAACTGAACTTCACTCAGAATCGTTTTTAATAAGCAATGGTTTATCATTGCATACATATATATATTAAATTTCCTCTCTACCTTATTTTAGCCTTCCCTTACTAATAATATCTAAATTATATTTTCAAAAGAAGTATCATTGATTTAGATAAATTTTGAATTCTCTATGGAATTTTATTTATCATTCAATCAAAAATATGATCAATATTAAACTTTCTAGTTTGCACTTTACCCTGTGTGATAATTAATTAGTAAGAATTTAACCAAAATCTGAACATTGTCATTAGGTATTCATTTTTATGAAAATAAGAAACAATTTAAAAAAAAATTACCTAAAAACTTGAAGTATTTTTACGAACCGAAGTAATTTCTGAAAATAAAAACACACAGTTAAGTAGATAGTTTTTCTTCGCTATTCTCTACTAAGAATTTAAAGTAAAAAAATACATAATCGTAATGATTTAAGAATCATCATGTATATGTAGATTGAATAGGTATCGTTTTCCAATAAAAATCATATTTTATACAGTTAATACGTTTTAAGTTAAAAGTTAAATGCGAGAATTTTAATATAATATATTAAATATATATTAATTATAATATAGGTATGAATGTACGATACCTGAATAAAATACCTAGAGCATTATAATAAGAATGTGGTGACTAATTAAGTGCATATTACGTAATCAATTTCTCATGTAGGTAGGTGTTAATAATTTTAAATCTGATATCAAAATAGGTAGGTAGGTATGTGTTTAAATAATAAATCCTAGAGTATTATAGACATCGCGATGTGATTGGAACTATATGGGCAGTGTTCAAATCACGAATATATTTTACAGAAAAAAAACTAATATAAATATAAATTTGAAGAATATAACAAATAAAAATGGACAAATTATTAAAATAAAAAAAAACTAAAACAAATTTCAAATACAAATAAATAGGAGTAGAGCAAAAATCGGCTGAAGGATTAAAAATTATTACTACGTATAGAAAGTGCTAATATCCAATGAAAATGTCTGGTTTCCAGTGCCCTACTTAGAAAGGGACTAGGGGAAGGCTGCAGCACCGGACCCCGGGTCCGAAATAATGACATGAGGGTAAAATAATGACATAGGCATTATATGTTTTCTTTAATAATATTTGTTTTATATTGTACCTATTTTCCCGTTTTTCCTAAGGTTTTCTCATGTTTTTTCCATTTATTGAGAAAACTAATTAGAATATCAAAAATTGATCTCCCCAGTCAAATTTTCTTTTAGAAAAAGTGCTATCATTATTTATCGAAGCAAAATTGTTGGTAGAAAAGGTGTTCACAAGAAAAAAAACATCCTAGGAATTAGGATAATGGGGACGGGTGCAGCCACTGTTATAGGTTTTTTAATGTATACCTGTAAGCAACGATAAATCATTGCTTACGAAAAAGCGATTCTGAACGGAGTTCAGTTGATAGTGATGCTTTGTCAACAATATATATGCCATATTAAATAATAGAATATTATACATTTATAATATTTATAAATATATTTTATATATTTTCTTTAATTATATTTGTTTAATGTTATACTAATTTCTCGGGTTTTCCTACGTTTTTCCCAGTTTTTCCGTGTTTTTCAAATTTGATGAGAAAACTCCTGAAAAATCGAAAAATGACCTCTCTAGAGAACCTCCCAGTGAAATTTCCTTTTATAAAAATTGCTATCATTTTAAGTTGGAGCATATTGCTGGTAGAACATATTGCTAATATATTATATATTGAATATATTGAAAATATTGCTGGTTGTTCATCGAAAAAAAAATCGTAATATTATTCAAATTTATTTCATGAATCTTCCCGTTTTTTCTCAGTTTTCTTTTGGTTTTTCACATTTGATGACAAAATTCTTGCAGACAAAATAGAAAAATTACTTCCTTAAATTACCTCTTCATACCGATTCTTTTTCAGAAAAGGTGCTACATTAAAAAATAGGAACATGTTCTCTGGTATAAAAGTTGTCCGTACAGGAAAAAAAAATAAACATCTTTGGTAAACAATGTCCACTCAGAATCGAAAAGCTATAATTTTTTTTTCAGCTAATACCTACATTTTGTACTTTTTTCTGTTTCTCCTCCATTTTTCAGGTTTTACCAATTTGCTAGGAAAACCGAAAAATAACCTTTTTAGAATACCTCCATAATCAGATTTTTTTTCAGAAAAGATGCTACATTTAAAAATTAGAGCAAAATTTCTGATAGAAAATCTGTCTAGCTAAAAAAGCTAAAAAAAAAAAATAAACAACTTTGTGAAACTATAAGCTTATTCGCTCCACTCAGAAACTAAAATTGTAGAGACCTGATATTTTCACAGAATTCTTATAGTAGCTTTTTTTAGACGTAATTCTAGTGATTTTTAAGATTTTTGCAGGTATTTGATATTTTAAAATATATTTAATTTATATTTGATTTTTTTTTTTTGAGAAAACTGTTTTAGTAGACCAGAAATACTGAAAAATTGTATACGAAGTTAATTATATATTTATATATTGTACATAATGTCTTATGGCCAAAAAAAATAAGAGCGTAATGTATAGTATTTTATTATTAAGCGTGTTTTAAGTTTAAATTTTCAACAAGTATTCATATTTTATAACATAGTTAACTGAACTTCGCTCAGAATCGTACTTCGTTGGCAATCATTTATCGTTGCGAACAGATTTACATTCAATAAATTTATGTATTCTACATTTTCAATTTCTTACCCACAACAGTGGTACATCTATCTGCAGTATCAGGTATGTATAGGGTGATTTTTTTATCATGAACTTGCAATTTTCTCGGAGGATTTTTAAAGGGTAGATACCAAATTTTTAGTTTCTTCTAGTGCTAACAATCTATGTTCAATTTTTCTTTGCATAACCCTTTAATTTAAAAAAATTTGTTAACAAATATTTATTAGACTTAATTATTCATGCAAATTGCATGATACAAGTTGGATTGGGTTTATAATATTATTTTTAGACGAACAAATAAATATATGTAAGCAAAACCTTATGTGGAGAGAGTCTAACCTATTTTACTAGATACTATCTTNTTTGCATAATCCTTTAATTTAAAAAAATTTGTTAACAAATATTTATTAGACTTAATTATTCATGCAAATTGCATGATACAAGTTGGATTGGGTTTATAGCTATATAATATTATTTTTAGACGAACAAATAAATATATGTAAGAAAAACCTTATGTGGAGAGAGTCTAACCTATTTTACTAGATACTATCTTATACATTATAATGCTACAAAAAACCTCTTTGAAACACCAACTAAAACAATTGTCATGATTATTATAATTTTAATTACAGCAGAGTAGCTAAAATTAATTTAAATTACAATTTGGTACTTTCCAAAGTTATTTGTAATTATTATTTATATTCAATTAAAAATAGTTCATATTCATATTGCACATAATTATACATTTCACCTGGTTAAAAACGCTATTGAAAAAAAAAAGACTATACATCTATATGACTACTAATGAACAATGATATATAGAATTCAAAACATGCAATTAAATTTTAAATTGATTTTAAATATTTGTCTACTCGTATCCATTTCTTTTCAAATTTACATTTTTTTTTTTTTATGTACCTACTCAAATGCGATGTATGAAAATATAAAGTATATATTAAATAAAATTATAAATTTATGATAGTTTAGTATACACTAATAGGTATTAGTTATCAACTATAAATTAAGTAACTATATGTGTCTACGTGTAAAAATATGAGTCTAGCAATAAAAATATATGTCAAAAAACAATTAATTAATTAATCGTTTTTTTAAAATTGTAGTGATCTGGATTTTGTGCGTTTGTTTGAATAATTCTAAATGGCATTATTATATTATTCAAAACAAAATTCCATATAGTGTCTCAAACTTGTTTGTACATTAAATTACGGTAAATATTGATTGCATCTCAAACGATAATTAAATGATACGATTACGAAATATAAAAAACATAATATATACCGATTTGAATCCAAACAACAGTATTTAATCTAAATATTAGAATTAATGTGTCACAATTTTTCGAGTATGAAAGTACCTATAGTTCGTTTACTAAAATAAAATGTAAGTATTTACTTAAACATAGTATTATAATATATATAGCCTATACAAATAGTTATAATACATATATACCGCACGTATACTATACAGCGTACACATGGTAATAATAATTATAACACGACCGTAAAACGTAATTTATGAATTATGAGCATGTGTTACGCATAGACTTTAATTGTTTAACCGACAGCAATGAGGGATCTGTTTTCACAATAGGTACTTCCTTAAATGCATATAGGTACTCGTATTACAATAGACAATAATTAAGTTTGAAAATATATCCTTCAAATTATTATTATTTTAAAATATACGTAGTTTAAAACTTAAAAGTATGGTATGTATTTTTAACGGTTTATACTACGTAATTACTAATTACTTATCTAACTATTATAATAGTTATCAATAGGTCAATACGATAATAATTCGATTATAAGCCCCAATAATATTGATTAATATTAATTATATGTATATATAGTATTTACTTGATTTTTGGGGGCTTCTTTGAGTTTTGGTAAAGGAAAAGTCCCCCTATTCCTTTCTTATTTACGTCTATTGGGGGAACATCTAAAAAAATAATTTGACCTATCCGTAATAATTTCGTTTAAATTTTGGGTTGCCGTCTTCGAAACCAAACTTAAATAATAGTATCTAAACAAAACATTATCTTTAAATACATAATCCCAAAACATACACAGAAATTGGGAATTAATTAATTAATCGTTTAACGCAGAAAGTGTTAGATTTGAAATTATTTTAAGCATTAAAATATGTTTAATAGGTACACATTTGTAATAAGATTAGGTAAGTGCATAGCAAAATCACGTTCCATAATTAAGAATAGTATACATTGTGACGTTTAGTTATAAATTAGAGGTTAAATACAGATAAAGAAATATTTAAATAGGTGAATATTTATGGATAGTGCTGTTATTCCAAAATATTGTTAAATAAAAGAGCTGATACTAGGGTTGGGAGCGACCACTGTTGTAGATGAGAAGTTGGAAGTATAGAATATATATTGTTATTACATTTATATCTGTAAGCAACGATAAACCATTGCTTGACGAAAGACGATTCGGAGCGCAGTTCGGTAATACATAATTTGAAGTGCCGTAATTTTTTTTGCGATTTTCGTTTAAATTGATTTCATAACGCTTATTGAAAAAAAACATTTTTTTTGTCCAATGATTTTTAAAAAAATGTCCTCGTCTAGGTAAATCCAATATAAGTATTATTACCAAGTTTTAAGTCTCTACGTGTATTTATAACCGAATTACAGCAAAAATTAAAAATCCTTAAAAGCTCAAAAGTTTTGGCGATGATATCAGAAGAAAATAAATTGAAAAGGCAGCAAAAAAGATATCTAGTGATTTTTCGATAAAATCATTTTTTCTGATAGAAAACGTTATCCGTGTTTTTATATAATAATAAAATCGTGAAATTGTACGTTTTTTCCCACTTAAGTGCTTTTATTTAAAAAAATGGCGTTGAAAATTAAAAAATGACCTGTTTAAAGCACAATTAGGACAACTTAAGTATTTAAGAAAAGGTGCTACATATGAAAAACCGAGCAAGTTTACAAAAAAAAACGTGTCCACAGACTAGAAGAAAGAAAAAGAAAAAAATTAAACATCTTAGTAAAACCAATAGCTCTCTCGCTACGCTCGGAATTTAGAATTACAGTTATAATTTTAAAAAATTAACAACTAACATTATGGTTGCATAACTTTTAGTTGGAAAATATTTTAGAAAAATAGCAAGATTATTGCCCTCTAAAATATTTTTCTCTTTAAATCTTGTTATCTGTGTTTTAACTCAAATTTCAACCTTAACACCACAATTTATATGTTATAAAATGCACTAAAATTTTACGTTAATTAGACTGTGACTCAGTAAATGCAAGTGTAATGTACCACAAGTAATAACAGTACAACAGACTGTAATCAAATTAAAATAATAACAATATTTCAATAAATCTAAATCAATTATTATTCTTACCACGATATCGATATCGTCCACCGGCACCAACTATTAAAATTCAGGTCACATACACACAGACACACACACACACACACACACACTGCAGAGAAGAAGGCCGCAAGTATATTATTTAGATCGTATTATAATTTAGTACTAGTAAAAAATTATTAATTTACAAAATCCATCACTGAATCTGAACTTCTAAAGTTTTGTAATATATTATATATTAGACAAACTGGAAATTATTTTATTGTAATAACCGTATATATAATATACATGTACCTAATTCCGTACTATATTATGAAGTGTGATGGTTAATAGGTCCATTAGACTCTAGAAAGAGTCAAAAGAATCAAAATATCAAAATCAGCGTTATTTTTTATTATTTATTCATTTGTATGGGTAAATATAGTACAGGATTTGTTCAAAATTTTGTTTCTTGAATACTTAATATATTATAGTTAATATTTTTCTCGACATTTTGGTATGTATAATGCTGATATCAGATTTACCGTTTATGAATTATAACTGTTTAAAGTATACACCAAAGAAGTAGGGAAAAATTATCAATTTATCATTTGAAAATAGATATGCAATTTATTACCCTTCCCTACTAATCCAGTCTAAACTTTCAACGGTTATAATTCATAAACGGTGAATCTGATAATTTGTGATTATCAAAACTTCTAGAAAAATATTCTGTATTCGAATCTATATTTAAAAAGAGAGGTTCTTTTTTTTAAAAAAAAAAGTATATACTTACTTAAGATATATAGAGTGGGAGTAAAAATTAAAAAACAATTTTAAAATAAGCTTAAACGATTCCATAATAATTAAAAAAAAAACAAAACAAATTCACTTAAAATTCCCTGTCGAAATTAATGACTCAAAAAATCACTCTGTATATTACCTATAAAGGTACCCATATAAATACAGTAACCAATATTTTTCCAATATATTTTTTTTACCAATTTCAGGATAATATACAGTGGCAATATAATTTTTGTTTTTCAAACGAGAATACCATTAACTTTTTACGCATTTGTGATATATTTATTAAGTATACCTTGGGTAGCGATTTAATTCGCCAGTTCAAATACTTCAAACTTCTATAAACAATTTTCGCTGTCTGTACTCTGTATTATTTAAGGAAAAACAATAGCAACTATAATAAACTATAATTTAAATTATAAAAAATATTAAATTATCATCTAGTTTAAATTTTTAAATTTATGTATATAATCATAGGCGTATTCGGAGTAGATATTGATAAAAGGTATTTCATTGATCAATATTCAGGATATTATTATAGGAAATCATTATTAGATACCTAGGGGGTCTCGAATATATACATTTTTATTTTTTAGAATAGCTTTCAGATGTATACAAATTTTTAAAAAAAACTATATTAACTACTCAAATTATTTTTAAATATATATTTTTGGTTTTATTATATTATTATATTATTTATTATATATTATAAAATATACATACTTGAACAAAAATGGACCATTTGCAATGTAACAATCAATATCCTATATTTATACTTAAAATAACTTGTAATTGCATGAACGCTATAATATTTTAATTTTAAAAAGATACTTATTTTAGTTTAAAAAAAAAAAAAAACTGTTAAATACAAAATTTAATTTATCACTTTATTCTACAAACACATAATTGTGTTCGTGTACCAAATAACTTATTGTATTTATAGAGTATCTGACGAAAAACTGTCAGAGTCACAAATACAAATGAAATGAACCGTTTTCATATCGTACTGAGGCTGTTATAACAGCTTGCATTAAAAAAAAAAATCTACACCACGCCCATTTTCCTTTATTTCGACCTGTAAGGCTAGATGTCACATAAAATATATATGTATGATCCACCTTCTACAAAAATTAAATATTATTTACAAACAATTTTAACAGTACCTATATACGTACCTACACGTTTATCACAATTATATAGTATCATCAAGATCACTTATTCCATAATATGTTAAAATATTACAAAAATTAATTACATATCTTACGTATGTACTCAAATATTTTACTGGTTGATAATAATAAAACAATATTGATAACATTTTTTAATAATCTAACATTGTTCGATGATAACAATAATAATCTACATGTATAGATCAAAAGGTACACCTAAATTGTCTTGATAAAAATAAAATATTACTTATCTGGATAAAAATAGATAACAATTTTAAATTATAATAATTATCTATGAATATTTTTTCATCAATTTACTTATATTTTAAAAATAAAAGTATATAATTAGCTATTCTACTAGAATAATATTTTGGTATACCTAATAAATATCATATTATTATATTTATTTGTATAGATTGGGTTTAAAATGTATAGATTATACTGAGGTTATAACGATTATAGTTAATATCGTATTAAGAAAATATTATGAAGATTACATTATCTTCATCGTAGAAGTAGAAAAGTATTGTAAAAACAAATCCTTCACTGCTGTCTGTTAAATCATAAAAAA